TAAAATGTAGCCTGCAGTTACTAACAATCATTTAAGGAAGCAGAAGCAGCTCAGCTGACAGCAGCCAAGCTGGATTATTTATTAAAGAATACAGGGGCTACCTTCCTCTCTGTCTCTCTCTCTCTCTCACTGTCCACTCTGCCTGTCAAAAAAAAAAAAAAAAAATACAGGGCAAACCATAATTCCAGCTAGACAAGTTTGGATTTCAGAGCTACTCTTTTCTAAGGTCTTAACTAAAAAATGTAGGCCGTCAGCCAGGCAGCTGTTCTGAGAGAGAGAGATATAAACTTATCTTGCTACTACTCAACAAACAATATACTTGTTATCAGATAATATCTGGCAGCAAAATGAAAATGTAATTAATTTTCCAGGGATTTCCTAACTTTCAAGGATTACAGGAAGACGTAAGGGAGGAAACTCCTGGGTCCTGCCCATTGATTATTCCAGTCATGACGATTGCATTTAATTTGTAAAACTGGATTATTGCTCTGGCCTCTTACATAGGTTTCTAAAATGAGTCCTCTTATATCAACAGTGAGTAATTTGTTGTTTGCCAAAGTAATCAAAGACATCAGCCTCTTGCTTATGACTGGCTTATCACAGAAACCATCCAAGTCACTCAGCAGAGGTCAAAGTGCTGATCTGCATCTAACGACAAACCCACTCACTGCAATGAAAACAGGGCATACGTTTTTCTATTCCTTCTACCTGGACTTGAATCTGGCCTCTATTCCCCTTTGCTTGCCCTGCATACCACTGTTTTGTTTTTTTTTTTACATTTATTTTTGCGGTTGGCATTGTGGCTGTGCCTACGATGCCACCATCCCATATAGCTGCTGGTTAGTGTTCCAGCTGCTGCACTTCCCATCCAGTTTCCCACTAATGGTCTGGGAAAAGCAGCAGAAGATGGCCCAAGGTTGGGCCCCTTGCCACTCACATGGGAGACCCAGATGGAGCTCCTGGCTCCTGACTTTGGCCTGGCCCAGCACTGGTCATTGCAGCCATTTGGGAGTGAACCAGAGGATGGAAGACCTCTCTCAGTCTCCCTCTTCCTCTCTTTCTGTAACCCTCACTTTCAAAATACTTATTTTGAAAGGCAGAACAACAGGCTGGAGATGACGAAGATTGATCTTGATCTGCTGGTTTGCTTCTAGAATGGTTGCAGTGGCCAGGTCTGGGCCAGGCTGAAGCCAGGAGACAAGAACTGTATCCTAGTTTCCAACACGGGTGTCAGGAAGCTGTGTACCAGCTCCATCTTCCACTGCCTTCCCAGGTGCATTTGCAGGGAGCTGGATTGGAAGTGGAGCAGCTGGCACACAAACCGGAAGTGGTGGCTTAACCTGCTTCACTGCAACGCTGGCCCCTGAGAGAACACACTCTTAACCACAGCAAGTACTAAACTGATTTTCACTGTCAGTTGCCAAGAGCTGTTAACATTTGTCAAACTTACATATGTGACTACATGAAATTTCTTATACTCTGATTATATATTTACCTATTTTTAATAGGTAACACCCTTTATCAATAATCTAATTCATGCAGTCCTTTATATCTGCTGGCACACAAGCTAATAAGCTTGAATCAATGGGCCAGGATGATCTAAGTGTGAATGGTATATAATTTTATCTTAGGGCTCTTTACTTAATGATAATATTTCCATTGGCACTACCTGTATATTTGTGTCTGAGTAACTTGACTTGGCAAAATAACCAAAACCCCAAACCCCAAATGCAATTAAATATGCTGTTCTCATCATGTAACTATCATTCTGTGAATGTTACATAGTATGTTGTCTATTCCAATGTAGTATAGTTTTAAGGTTCTATTGTATTCTTTAAAAGCTAGCATTGTTCTTTAAATGTGAATACACAAATACTAATCACATGGGCACACAGTTTCAACAGCAGAAGTCAAATTGCTTCATGGTGTAAATGATGTTGGATGAGGCCCTAGTCCAGTGGCATGCACTTGAAAAGAGGTCAATATTCACTGATTTCACTTCACTACTGCTCACTCCAATCTCTGTAACCTTCTGTTCCTCCTGCATCTCTGACATGGTTTAACGGCCATGGACAACTTCTTCTGAGACCTTAGCCATTCTCCATGAATGAGTACAACTGCTTCCAAACAGCTGCCACAAACTTACAACCCTTTCTCTCCCCACCTCTTAGTCTCCCCTTTTCAAAAATGTAAACCACTCCCATGATTGCAACATTTCCCAATGCTTTTGGGAAAAACATTCAAAATAAAAAAAGTATGCAAATGTATTTACATATTTGAGAGACAAGGAGAGAGAGAATGTGCACACGAGCAAGAGAGCACTCCCATTAGCTGGCTCACTCCCTAAATGTCCACAAGAGCTGGGGTTGGGAACTCAATCAAGGTCTCCCATGTGGGTAGAAGGAACCCAAATACTTGAGCCATCACCCCTGCCTCTTAAGGTCTGCATCAGCAGGAAGCTGGAGTCATGAGCCAGAGCCAGGAATCGAACCAGGTACTCTGATGTGGAACACATCCCTGCTGCCAACCTTGGAATAGAGTTTACCACTAACTTGCCATTTGCCAAAGTCAGAACTCCTTTTTCATTTTGTCTGAGGAATCTGAAAACCCTGATCACTCATTCCCCCTTGGAACAAATGCCCTCCTCCTCAAGTGGCCTGACAGTGCTATGTCATTATTCTCTACTTCTTTGGTGGGTCCTCTTGGTCTTCTCTGCCAGCGTCTCTTCTTCCCAGCATTTCTCTAGGTCCTGTGCTTAGATAGCTCTTCCCGTACACATCAACTACTCCTTAAGGACCATGTCAAACTCATACCCGAAGTTCTCCAGATTGCCCTATTTTCAGTGGCCAGAAGCACAAAGGGAACAATCTTTTAACAATGTGTCTTTAGGGGGCTGGTGTTGCGTGCAATGGGTTAAGCCACCACCTGCAACACCAGCATCCCATATGGGCACCGGTTCAAGTCCCTGCTGCTCCACTTCCAATGCAGCTCCCTGCTAATGCGCCTAGGAAAACAGTAGAGGGTGGCCCGAGTACTTTTGTCCCTGCCACCCACATGGGAGACTTGGATAGAGTTCCCAGCTTTGGTCTGGCCCATCCCCCAGCCATCGCAACTGTTTAGGGAGTGAACCAGTAGACACAAAATCTCTCTCCCTGCTCTCCTCTAACTCTACCCTTCAATTAGCTAAACCTTTATTTTTAAAATGCATCTTTGCGCATATCATGTCCTTATTTAAAGGGTTCCAGAATAAGAGTCCAAGTTCCAGTCCCTTCTTGGTCCCCCCTCGCTCTACCATTTCAATCCCATTTGCTCTCATGCTCCAATGTTGGAGCCAGAAGAACCACTCGCCCTCTCTAAGTCTGCTGATTTCTGTGCCTTCTTCTCATCTGTTCCCCTTGCCTGGAATTTTGGCTCTTGAAATCACCCCCACCTGTTCCCAGCAGTCTTTCTCTCACTTAGTTGCAATTTCCTCTGTTCATAAATTCCTTGCAGTGTTTCATCTGTTTGTCTGTCAACAATTCAGTATTTTTAGTAATTGTCCTATTCCCCCCCCTGCTAGATGGTAAGCAAAATTTAAAGTGGGGCTTCATCTGTAGCTTTGCTTCCTCCAGGGGGCCTAGTGAGGTTGCCTGCCAACAGAACTTTGAAGAAATGAAAAAAAAAAAAAAAATGAAGCCAAGATATCCCAGAGCAAGAGAAAAACAAAACTGGCGGTGTCCACAGCTCCCGATTTCTACCCAGTATGCTCTAATCCAAGGCCTGGACTTCAGCATCACCACATAGCCCACCTCTCACCAACCTCGTCGCTGCTACAGTGGGGAAGAAAGGGAAGAAAACATCGGGCTCTTAATCTCACAGACCTCAATTCTGCATAGGTGTGGCAATGGGTAATTTCATTTGCGTCCCTGAGTCTGGGTGTGCTACAGGGGAGCCCTCAGGGTCCCTGATCACCCGTGCTTAGATATCTAAAAAAATACAAGAATTAAAAGCTATGTAGGTGGGGCTGCCACTGCCTGCGATTCCCGCACCCCATATGGGTGCCAGTCCCAGACCCGGCTCCTCCACTTCCCATCAAGCTCCCCGCTAATGGCCTGAGAAAAGCAGCAGAGGATGGCCCAAGTGCTTGGGTCCCTGCACCCATGTGGGACACCAAGATGAAGCTCCTGGCTTCAGCCTGGCCCTGGCCCAGCCCCAACTGTTGCAGCCATTTGGAGTGAACCATTGGATGATCTCTGTGTCTCTTCCTCTCTCTGGGTAACTCTTTCAAATAAATAAAAAAAATCTTGGGGGGGGGGGGAAGCTATGTACGTCACTTTAGGCTCACTAGTAAAAAAAGTTTGTTGCAGAGAAAATTAAAATGACCGCGACAACCAAGGGGTTAAAGTAATGTGCACTTTATAACATCACTAACCCTTCTCCAACACTGGTCCTGCATTAATAAAACCCTACTCTGCACCAACCCTTTCTAAAACGAAGACATAAAAGCCACAGTCCTCTAAAAAAATTCCTGCAGCGCCTTGAGCGCCCCGCAACCCAGGGGCAGCGAGGACCTCCCCCCGCAGTCACAAGCCTCTGTAGCCACCCCAACACTGGGCCGTGAGGAAACACAGACCCCGGGGCCTCCCAGGGCTTGCTACAGGGAACACCGCAGCCATGGCGCCCACAGGCCTCCGCGGGGGTCCGCGCCGAATCCCGGCCCAGGCCAGCCCGGAGAGCCGAGGCCAGCGTGCACCACTGTCCAGCTCACAAAGCGCAGGGGCCCGCCGCGGGCTTGAGCGCGGGACTCCGAGGGCGGGGTGCCGGGCGGACGCCGCGCGCGAGCTGAGCCGCCTCCCCGCTCGCCCGCCCACGTCCGCGCGGCGGGCCCTCCGCCTGCCCGGGAGCCGCGGGGTGGCGGGAGGGCGGGAAGCGGCCCGGGGACCCTGCACCTGCCCGGCCGGGTCGCACCGCCCCCCGCCCCGGTCGCCGGCCTCCTTCCTCTTCCGCCCCCTCCATCGCCCACCAGCCCCCTCCCCCCTCCCCGCGGCAGCCGGGCTCCGCCCCGCTCGCGCGCTGCCGGCCGGCTGTGACGTCACCGGGCCCCGCCCCCGGCTATAAATACTGGCGTCGCCGGCGCCGCCTTCCCACACTCTGCCTCTCCTCCTGGCTGTAGCGTTTCCTTTTTTTTTTTCCACTCTCCGGTCGTCTCCTTCTCTGCCTCTTCTCATCTTTCTCGCGGTGGTGCTCTGCGGTGTGACGAGGCCGAATCCTCTCCCTCACCAGGCCCGCGCCTCTCTCCTTCTGCCCGCGCCGCTCCATTTCTCTCCGGCCGCCGCCGCCACTGCTGCCCAGCTGGTGTCGGTGCCGCGCTTTTCCCCCCACGTCGTTCCTGCAGCCTATGGCCCAGGCCGCCTTGGGTATTTCTGCTCAAGGTAACCACATCCCTCTTTAAAAATTCCGCCGAAAAAGAGAAGACGCTTTACCCGACTCTTTGGGCCGTTATCTCACGTGAGTACCGATCCGAGAGCGCGGGAGGGGCCGCGGCGCGGGACAGGCTCCGGGGGGCGGCCGGGTGCCTCCGCTGGGCCCCGATGCCCGCGGCGTCCCTGCAGCGCCCGCGGCCGGCCGCCCCGAACATGGCGGACGCCGGCGTGTGTGGCGGCTTGTCGGTGCCTCCGGCGGCGACGCGACTAGGGCGGCGGCGGCCCGCGCCTCGGGGCTTGGGGGTGACCGCCGGGCTCTAAGCCGAGCCGGAGCGGGAGCCGCCACGGCTCTGGGCGAGGGGGCGTGTGCTGGGGGCGCGCTCGGGGGGTCGCGGTCGCCTGCCGCGGCGTGCGGCCCCCACCGGGCTCCCGTGGTGCATTGCTGTTTCCGGGGAGGGGGCCCGGCCTCAGCCCCGAGGGGCCGGGGTCCCGCAGCCCGGACCGCGCGCGCGGCGCGGCCACCTTCGCCTCCGGGGTTGGGCGGGCGTGCGGGCGCCGCGCTGGGCTGCAACGGCCGGGGCCTGGGGTTATGAATGGAGCGGGGCGGGCCCCGCGCCGGCCGCCGGTGACAGCTGCAGGGGAGGTCAGGTTCTTGTGGGGTGGTGCGGGAGCGCGGTCCCCCTCTGCTGGAGGAAAGTTGACGCCGCTCGGGGCCCGGCGGCGGGGAAGCCCCGGTGTCAGGTAGCGAGCTGGAGGCCTTTGGCCCCTTCTGGAAGCCTCGGGGCTGCTGCTCCGCCCCTGCGGCGCTTCTGATTGGGCCAAGTCGCCTTCACTCACCCACCCCAGTCACCTCCCGAAGCCTGAGGATTAGTCACCATGGCTTCGCTTTCCCGTCCGCGCCGCGATTCCCGGGCAGAGAGGTAGAAGGGTAGGCTGGGTGGCTTATCTAGTGCTACCTTGAGTGCCATCAGTCAGTGGTGGTGACGTGTTTTAACCCTCAAAGTCCATATCTGGGGAACTGCTGGTTCAGAAACGTGAACCCGTCGGGGACACGTGGTGGTCGAGTAGATGGAGCTGGTTTTGTGGTGGCATCTCGGGTGCTTCAGTTCTGTGTGTTCTGTTTCCACCGGTGACATCTCCACCTTGGAATAGAATCCGAGAACTGGGGGAGAGAATGGCGGGATGCACCAGAAAGGTTGCTGTGGACGAGGTTGGCCGACGCGTGGTTAACTTAAGATGGTCGGGCAGGGCCCTTGATAATCCTTTAATGTCTTTTACAAATGTGAGAACACGCAGATGCTGGTTACGAAGACAGATGAGCCCGAGAAGTTTATGTTAAGCAGGAAGGGTGGGCTCCTTAAATGACAGAGGTAAAGGCAATGAAGCAGTCTGCTCTAAGCTCCTATAAATTTTCAGACACAGAAGGTGAAATAATGGTACCCCCATCTAGATTCTACTCTTATTACTGTGCAGAATCTGCTTTGTCCATCTTATTTCTTGACACATTTCAAAGAAAGTCGGAGTACTTATTCCCCAGCTTTAGTATACACATATCTTTAAGTAGAGCTGGGTACCGTGAGGGTGGGGGTGTGAATTTACATAAGGGTTAGTTCTGCCTGTTCTAGAACTTAGATGTAAAATGGTATAGTACATTATGCATTCTTTGGCATAAAAGGTTTCTTTAACTCAGCGTGTTTTTGATGTTCACCCATGTTGTTCCTCTTTACTTATGAGTAACAGTCATTCTGTGACTATCTTGCTGCATTTTTTGAAAGTAAACATTTTAGAATATTTTAGTTGTTCACGGAAGTAGTAACAGGTCTTGCATACTTAGACAGTTAACATTATTAACATCTTACATTGTCACGGTACATTCGTCAAAACTAAGAAAATGACTTTTGTACTAGGAATTCCAAATTTTGTTTGGATTCCATGGTTTTTCTTTAATGTGCCTTTGCAGGAGGGTGTTCCAGAACCCAGCCCAAGGCATTGCCTTGTCTAGTTGTCGGGTCTCCTCGAGTCTTTGGTCTGAGACAGTCTCAGTCTAACCTTGTCTTTAATGACCTTGCCTTGACAGTCTAGAGAAGTATTGGCTGAATTGTCTGGGTGAATACCTCCCAATTTGGGGTTGGCTGAAATTTTTTTCATAATTAGGGTGGATTTTTTTTTTTTTTTTAGGAAGAATACTACAGTAGTGAAGACAAGTGTATTTTCATAGAAATACTTTTTTTTAAGATGGAGTTTTGGAAAGTTACTGTCAAAGTGATGGGTGTTTTGTGTGTGTCTGGTCTACTCACCTCCTCAGACCCTCTTTGATAAAGTGATGTAGCTGGAGACATCTACTTGATTGTGGTGTTGGGCCTGATCCAGTTGGTTCCATATACCATTCTAAAGAAAATAATGTATCTCTCCTTTCCATCTTTTCCCTGCCTTTCTATTTAAACTACTTCATCATACCTCATCTTAACGAAAATTCCATCTATGCTCTATGTAAATGGCCCTCTTACCCAGATTTTGGATTCAAGTTGCCTGCCTGTATTTTTTTGTTGATTGAGAATGTGTCAGATATCTCCACTGAACAACATTGTTGAATATCTGTTGTGTAACGTTCTTGATGTTGCACATCACTGCTTGAGTTGCATAGCAGGAAAAAGATGAATAATGTCTCCGCTACCCTGATTATTCTGTTCCTTTGAATAATTGAGAGTGAACTGTCACCAGGATGAGTTAGATTTTTTAAAATTATTTCTGAAATTATCTGGATGTGAGAATTGGCTGTTTGTTGAGGGTAATACATTATTTGGAACCTAACTGTTATAATCATTGTTCCCTGCTGGTATGAGTTCTTTCCTTATCATTTGTGTTTTAAGTGTGATCAGTTTCCTCTAGCTAGAAAGAATGTTTTACCTCTCTCAAGGGTGCCCTTACCCTAGTTGAATGAGATAGGCTATATAAGGGCATGCTTAGGGTGCTCTTGAGGTCCTCCAAATTTTTGACCTTAGAATTTCTGGTTCATAACATTTCCTTCTCATCACTCCTTTTCTAGCAAGTTTGGTGAGACTGTATTACTTTAAAACAATAACTGCTGAATTGCAGATAGAAATAGAGGTCTTGCATTTTGGCTTACGTGACAAGTCTGTCTAGTTAAATCATAGGTGGTGATCATTTCTAATAATTACTCTGTTTATTGCTTGGTGTGCCAAGCACTTTCACATTCATCTGTTCATGGTAACAGATTGAAGTAGAGCTACACAGGAGGAGGTATGAAGAGATAAACCTTTAAGAGGTCACTTGTCCAATAGTATGAGATAGTTCTCAGTAGTTATTTCAGATACATATATATATATATATAGTATTAGCTAAATCATAAATCTTTTTGGCCTAATAGGAATTTAGACATAAAGAAGAATCTGAATTTAGGAGTAACAGGGTATTCTAGGTAGTTCCAGACTACTAGAACATGTTAGATAGAAAGTCTTTCAAACACAATTGGAAATTTTAAAATTTTAGGCCACCTCCAGTCTGGGTTTTAGAAGACAAATACAAGCAAACATGAATAGAAGGAGGCTGGAAGCCCACAGAGTAAGTAGGTAAAGGAAGCAAGTTGGTAAGATGACCATGATGTTAGGTTCTGTGAATTATGTGGTACAGCAGCTTAGGAACAGTCACAACATGGAAAAAGTCCTTGGTACAGTTGTAAAGCCCTTTGAAAACATTATGTGTAATGTGACTTTAATAAAGCAGACTCTGTTAAAACTAAAGTTACTCTCAGGTTCATCCTTAAGTCAACCAGCTTGAAACACAATCTAACCTTTTAAAAAAAAAAAAACAAAACAAAAAAAAAAACAAAAAAAAAAACATAGAACTACCAACTGTTTCTTTCATTTTTCTTCAGGGCGACCTTTCTGACCAAGTATACAACTACCCAGAGGGCCTAGGAGAAGTGCTGTATAGAGAGCAGTTCGACTTCAACGCTGAGCCACCTTGGGAACCTAGCTGATGATAGGGGGGTTCCATCTCCTAACTTGTCCATGTAAGTATTTCACCTTTGTTTGGGGGCGGGGAGGGGGGTATTGCTGTGTTGCTAAATGTTTCTCAGAACCTGAAATTTTATTTACCTCTTTAAGTGCAGTGACCATAAAGTTTTTTGAAATTCTGAAACAGAAGCCTGATACTTATGGGTTAGACTTGACTGAGTTGTAGCATTTACCAATGACTGAATCACTTAAAATATATCTTTGATATGTAACAAATATTACTGTAAGCACATATTGCAGGAGAAGTTTTAGGAAATCTTACTAGCTCCGGTTTTATGCAGTGTGGTTTTGAATTTAAGATATCCTCAGATCATTCAACCATTTAACTCAGTGGACTTGTACTTGGGCTTCATCTGAAAAATAGATTTTTTTTTTAGTAGTGTTCTCATTCCACTCTGTGGGAAACTATTCCCTACGGCAGGGGTGGGGAACGTCTGGCCCATGCACTGTGTAAGCCTCATAGAATCATTTGGTGTAGCCCTGCCAATGCGGCTGCAGGCAGGACTCAAATCCAGGACGTTTATACCTGGCTAATTTTTAAGTTGATAATTTTGTATGGCCTGTGAGTGATGCTGTAAATATCCACAGGGCCTTGGCAGACTCAGTGTGGTTTTCTAGAGTTTGTACTCCTTTTCATGAACTGACTTCATATAGTACTCAACTAGCAGGGAGAACTGGTTGTTTTTAGGGGACTAACTGAAAGATAATACATGTGTGTTTCCAGTCAGGCTGCCTTCAGATTTTCAGGGACAGGTTTTGGCGGCTTGGTTTTCTGCATAGGGCTTGACTTAAGTTTTGAACTCTGTGCACAGTGTAATTACACAGTAAGTTGTTGGTTGAATTTGAACTGCTAGATTTGTGTGGTTGATTCTTTTTTATAAGTATGTAGTAGCATATGAACTTCTTGCTATTGAAATTTGGATTTTGGTGTTGAAATTTGGACCTTTTTTAAAGTAGACTGGAGAGTTGGAGGGAATAGATTAGACATTTTTAGAAAAGCTGAGTATATTGATTAACTTGTTATTTTAAAGACTTACTTAATTGAAAGACCGAGTGACAGAAAAAGAGGTTGTCCCAAGTGCCAACAACAACCAGGCCTGGGCCCATGTGGTGGCAGAGACTCAAGTACTTGTGTGCCTGAACCTTCCAAAATACACAGTCCCACGAAGCTGGAACAGGAGTAGAGCTGGGACTGCAACCCAGATCCTCCAGTGCCTGATGTAGCGTCACAAGCACAGCTTAATCAGCTGGGCCACAGTGCCGGCCCCTGATTAGTTTTTCTGTGGTTGCATCTTGTTAAACAGATTCCATCAAATAAAAACATTTTATATAATTAGAGTATGCTAAAACAAGAATTTTATAAATGCATTTGGTAAATCCAATTGGAATTTTAGGTTCAGGTTTGTCTGTCCTACTTCTCACATATCTGATGTTTTCCCCCTAAGTTCACATGGAGATTTAAAACTTTTTTTTTCCTTCTTATGGAGTGGAGTCTAGTTGACATCATAGTCATTGATGGATTCCAAGGTGGGAGTTCAAGACCAAATTTCATCTTTCAAAGATCATCATAAAGGATATTCAAGTCCCATAATAACAGATATTAATGGGATCTGAAGTTTGCATTATTTCTAGTAGTGTTTTCTCTTTTTTATTTATTTATATATATGTACATATATATAAATTTTTTTCAGATGTACAAGTTTCATGTATTTCCTGTGTACAGATTTAGGAACATAGTGCGACTTCCCACCCATGCTCCCACCCTTCTTCCTCTTTCCTCTCCTATTCCTATTCTTAATTTTTACAAAAAATCTATTTTCAATTAACTTTATACACTGAGCACAGATCAGGGAAAAATACGGTATTTGTCTTTTGGAACTGTCTTATTTGGCTAAGTATGATGGTGTAGTGTTTTCTCTTAAAGACGTAAGAGACACTGGTATCATTAAGCTGATAGATTAATGAATGGTTCTACCAAATCCAGAAAAAGTCTAAAACAATAAATAATATTTCAGAAGCCAGAAAGTCAATGATGTGGGAATGGAGATAAATAGAATATACTGATTCTGCTGGTCTGGCAGCCAAGTTGACTGATTCTTCAATTTATTATGCCCAGGTAAAATGTATGTTAAGCTGTAGTACTTAATGCTTTGCCATAAAACATCAGGTCCATAACTGTAAGAATTTTTTATTGATTTGTTTATTTATTTGAAAGGCAGAGAGACGGTGAAAGAGATCTTCCTCCTGCTGGTTTACTCCTCAAATGCTAGCAATAGCCAAGGCTGGGCCAGGAGAAAGCCAGGAGTCAGTAGAAGTGTCCTCCAGGCACTCCAGTAATGGAATACTAGTTTCCCAAATGGTGGCTTAACCTGCTGGACCACAGCACCCTTTCCCCAAAGTAATTCCTTTATAGCTTCCTTGATGTGACCTAAACTAATTTTGGAAAATAAACTTGACCTGAATCTGTTCTGATTTGAGGCTGTTTTTAATCTTATCCCATTTAATGTTAATATTCCTAAATTTTGCTAATATTGTGATTACAGAAGGCTGATTCATATTTTGGTTACATTTGTTTTATTTATATGTCTACACACACACAAAATACACTACTGTTTCATATCTGAGAAATTACGAATTTAGGACTATCTGGTCCCAAATGTTTCTTGAATTAATAAAAATACAGAAATGTGTTATTCTCACATGTAAGTTTGCTCTATTGGATACTAATATCCTGAGATTAATTTTTTGTGGAGCAGAACTACTATTTGGAAACCATTAAAAGGACTTAAAACAGTAGCCTTCGTGGAACTTATTTGTCACATGGCCTATATGAACTCCGAACTGTGGTTTTTTTTTTTTTTTTTAATTACCTCAGTTCTGTGCAGGTTACCTGAGTTCTATGATTTGGTTTCAGGATTAGGTGTTTTATTTATTTATTTATTTATTAAAGATGTATTTGAAAGGCAGAATTACAGGGAGAGATCTGCTGGATCACTCCCCAAAGGCCAAAACCGCCAGGCAGAAGCCAGGAGTGTCATCCAGATCTGTCACGTGAGTTCCAGGGGCCCAAGTACTTGCGTCATCTTCCACTGCTTACCCAGGTGCATTAGCAGGGCGCTGGATCAGAAGTGGAGCAGCTGGGATCCCAGTGGTGCAGGCTGCAACTTTACCTGCTGTGCCGTAACATTGGCCCCTCAGGATTAGGTTTTAAGTCAAGGAACCACCTAAACATTGAGATCATTCCGTTATGAACTCTAGAAAGTTTGGAATAATATGTGTACAACATTTGAGTGCTGTACAGATATATTGACAATATTTTAACATTGATTTTTTTTTTTTAGGTTATTGTGATGGGCCCCCTAAAACTTAATAAGCCTGTAGTAATTCTAGTGGATCTGGTGATAAAGTCAGATTGAATTAACTATTCACATATACCTTATAATGTAGTTTGTAGTCAAGTGTAGATGTGCCTTGTGGGTTTGCTCTCAGACCACTGCAGTAAAGTAAATTGTATGGCTATTTTGGCTTCTCAGTGTGTATAAAAGTTATTTACACTATACTGTAGTCTTTTTAAGTGAAAAATATGTCTAAATAAACAGTGTACATACCTTAATTAAGAAATGTTGTTGGAACAGGCATTTAGCCTAGTGGTTAGATGCCCACATCCCTGGATTTGATTTCCTGGCTCCTGTCCCTCATGCCAGCTGCCCACCAGTGCAGACCCTGAGAGGCAGCAGTGGTGACTTAAGTAATTGTGTTCCTGGCCTTGGCTCTGGCTGTTTGAGACATTTGAAGTGAACCAGTGGTTGGGACTTCCATCTTTCTTATACCAATACTTAATTTTAAGATTGCCCCCCCAATAAAACTTTGCTGCTAAAAAAATGCTAATAATCATCTGAGCTATTTGGAAAAGGATGCCAATGGACTTGCTGCATGAAGGGTTGCCACAAACCTTCAGTTTACAAGGTATGCCTGCGTAGAGTAGATCCACTTAGTTTATTTGTTTAAATGGACTTCACCAATGAGTTTTAAGACTTTTTTGCCCAGTTGTCATTAAAAAGATTACAGGGGATAGAAGGCTCTTGCATTAATTGTAAAAGATAGATGAGCTGAGAAGAAATTTGAGTAGTGACTACTAACGTGTGTGTTCTGTTAAGGCGGTCTTCATCCAAACTCTTCTTGCTTCAAGAGGTTTTCAGTGTGTTTCTCATGAATCTTCCCTAAAACCAAACATTTTGGTACACTGAACTCCAATTACTACAAATGAGATATTGCAGAAAGGTTTGAAAACTATAAAACCTAAGGAAATGGTAGGCTGGCCATTATGCAGATAGCCCAAGGAGGCGCTCCTCGTTGAATTGCTCACACACTGGCAAGGCCCAGAAAGCAAATAATATGTCCTTCACCTACATTCCAAGATCCTCCTTGCCCACTTAAGCAGTTTGTCACATAATGAAACAGAGGTTTAGCCATCTAGTTCTCTAATCCGCTGTTCTTCGTTGTATCACACAAGTAGAAAGTATTTGTTGATCAATAGTGCAAGTCTCCGTTTAGGACTTACTTCCTATGAAATTTTGTTAACCATTTGTTCATTTATTGTCTAGTGCTGTCAACTTTTGGATTGATCTTTGTTACTTGGGGGCAAAGGCATTTTTGGGAATGGGTTTTATTTTTTTTTTTGCTCTGTGATGTGCAGACTTAATCTCTAGAACTTTGAAAATTTCTTATAGAAACAGCATCCTTCAAAACAGTAGCCATAAGAATTTAACAAATTAAAACTAAATTAAATTAGAGATTTATTCTTTTTAAAAAATATTTTCTATTTATTTGAGAGTTAGAGTTATCAGACAGTGAGAGGAAGAGACAGAAAGAAAGATCTTCCTTCCGTTGGTTCACTACCCAGTTGGATGCAGGGGCCCAAGGACTTGGGCCATCTTCTACTACTTTTCCAGGCCATAGCAGAGAGCTGGATCAGAAGTGGAGCAGCCAGGACTTGAACTGGTACCCTTATGGGATGCTAGCAATGCAGGCAGCAGCTTTACCCACTGTGGCACAGCGCTGGCCCTGAGGGCAACATTCTTAATCACAGCAGAGAGCTGGATTGGAAGAGGAGCAGCCGGGACCAGAACCCAGCGCCCCAGGCTGAGGATTAACCTACTGCTCCACGGCGCCTACCCCTCCTTTTTTTTAAGATTTTATTTGTTTACTTGAAAGTCAGAGTTACAGAGAGGCAGAGAGAGAAAAAGAGATCTTCCACCCACTGGTTCACTTCCTCCGTTGCATGAGACCCACATCTTAAGTGCTAGGGTGCTATCCAGCACCAGTAGAGGACATTTTACTCATCCACAGAAAGTTCTGCTGGACAGTACTACTTTGGGAGAATTATTGTGAGCAGAGTAGCAGGAGCCATAATAATCTTAAAGCATTTATTGACAAGAACTGTACAAATTATATACAGTGTTCATTCTCCAAGATCGTCTAATAAACTAACTGTTCCTTAACTGTAAGGGGTTTCCAGTTGTATATTCTAGTTGAATTCTTCAGTTTCCTAGCATGTTCTTAGGATGCGACTCCTTACAATAACTCTTGTGTGCTCCTATAGGCTGCAATTAATATTAGCTTTATGTTGACATTAGATTATCTCTTATCTGTTTCTTACTCTTTGCAAGGATCCTCTGACTCCCAGTTTGTAGTACCTTTAGATTCAACATAATCAGCAATCTGTATTTGGGTTGACCAAGAGTAGGATAGGGTATTAGAATATGTTCACAAGGACACTGAAACAAAATAATTCCCAAATACACAAATGGGAGTATTTGAAGATACCCTTTTTTAAAGATTGATTTATTTATTTGACAGAATTACACAGAGAGGAGAGGCAGAGAGAGAGGTTTTCCATTCTTTGGTTCACTCCCCAACTGGCCGCAACGGCTGGAGCCGTGCTGATCTGAAGCCAGGAGCCAGGAGCTTCTTCCCGGTCTCCCACACGGATACAGGGCCCCAAGGCCTTGGGCCATCTTCCACTGATTTCCCAGGCCATAGCAGAGAACTGGATCTGAAGTGGAGCAGCCACGTGTTGAACTGGCACCCATATGGGATGCTGGCACTGCAGGCGGCAGCTTTACCCACTATGCCACAGCGCCAGCCCCTTGAAGATATCCTAATAGGACAATAAAAATGAGTAAAAGATTTGAAAACCATTTGTTAGTAACCTAGCAGTTCTACTGTATTATGTGCCCTAAACTCTGGCACCTAGACCAGTGCTACTTAGAACTGTCAGCAGGATAGGGTCTCTTGTACCAGAATGTGAAGTCACACACTGCCAAACACTGGGTCATATAGAATAAACTATTAAATAACAATGATCAGAAAAGTTATAAACATATTCTAAGGGAGATGTATCCAACACCTGAGAGAGAGATACACAAGGGCCTATTTATTTGGAAGGCAGAGACAGAGATCTGGTTCACTCCCAAATGGCTGCAACAGCCCCTGTTGGGCTAGGCAGAAGCCCGGAACCAGTAATTCCATCCTGGTCTCCCATGTGGGTGGCAGGAGCCCAGTGACTTGGACCATCATCTGATATCCTCACAGGCTCGTTTTCAGGAAGCTAGAATCAGACGTGAAGTAGCCAGGACTCAAAACCAGCACTCAGATAGGAGTTGCTGGGTTCGCAAGTGGCAGTTTAACTTGCCATAATGCCAGTCTTAAGTTTTATGTATAATAAAAACAAATTTTCCTTGTGCATAGGCAGCAGCTAGGCAGTGAGATCTTCCCTAAGGTAACTAAGTTTATTTAAAAGGTTTATTCATTATACTGCATTGAAAACAGGAAAGCTAGAAAACTTAGGATTAATATACATCTCAATTACCAAAAGGGGTTAAATATTTAACTTGTGTGCAAGAACACACACACTGTCTCCAGCTAAAAATTCCATCTTTACATCAAATAATCAGAACACTTTGTTTTCTAAGGGTGCCTAACCATGTCTGCTCCATATGTAAAAGTAATACAGATTGCTGTGAAAAATCCTGAATTTCATTTTCTCATTAAGATATATTTTAACATTTCTTCTGATGCATTTTGTTAGGTAGCCTGTGTACAGGCACTTCAACTTAACCTGTCCGGCTTATTCCTTTGGTTTTCTCCCTTTTTTTTTTTCCTTCTTACATCCATCCTGTATATTCTTATTCCCTTTTAAAATGTTCTTAGGCAGTCACTTTTGGTGTTCTTCCTCTGTTACTCAGTTTTTTCCAACCTCATCACCTGAAAATACTCAGTGTAGGCTTTTGTTACTGTTTGCCGTTTAATCTTGCTTCAGTATGGCAAATGTTTATTTGATCTTAGGATCACCACCCAGTTAATTGGAAATTCTACCAGATTGAGTACATAGTTTCCTGGAAACTGCTTTTTTTTTTTTTTTTTTTTTTTTTTTTTTTTTTATTCTAACTTGCTCCAGGCCTCACATCCCTTATGCCGAAGTCATCCTTTTTCAGTTTTCTAGTGCTCTTCTGGGCAGCTATTTATAATTATTTGTAAAGGTATTCTGTATGGGTAAGTAACCTTTTTTTTTCTCTTGTAGGTAGAATGCAGAGGAGACTTAAGATTGTCTGTTTTTATAAGGTTGTAAGCTGAGTGCCACGTCGAGTGTTTATATAAAAATAAAGGTAGAAATACCAGTAGGCATTTTCCGTGATAGTGTAAGTTTCAAGATATCTTAAGCTCTCATTTTTAATGAGCAAAGGACGTATTAGACAAGTGGTTGTGTATTAAGCTTGGGTTTCCTGCGTAGGTGTCGCACACAGTACTCTCAACCTTCAGCTCTCCCTGTTCTGCTTCCAGGGAGGTCTTCACTTCCGAAATCCAGGACTCATATTCATCCAGCTTGGTGTCAAGTGGGCTGTTGCTGCCAGGATTGTCTTGTGATTATTTGAGAGATGTATCAGTTTCTTCTGAAGTACAACCAACTGTAGAAGCCCTTGTAGCAGGTGTGTAACAGGCAAGTGCCCAGCTGCTGCAGCCGCTACTCTTGGAGCTACCCGCTCGACGGACGTGCGCACTGAGCTTCCTCCTGAACGGCTCCTCCGGCTCCAGGAGCAGCAGTTGGGTTCTTTGGAGCCTTTTGTTTCTTTTGGCAGCTCTTCATGGAAAATGTATTGTCAAAAAACACCGATATAAAGGTGTAAATAAGGCGTCGTTATGTCTTTATTCTTCCCAGCTATGAGTCCAAGAAGTAACTGCTCAATGAAAATAGTGTCATGATTATAACAACTATAATAGTGTAGAATAATCTGAATTTTGGACCATATATTAATAAGATACTTGTTTTTAAAAATAGTTTAGATATGCTTGTGTGTAGAGAACATTTCTTAGTGTGTATGATACCAGTAAACATGAGAGCTTTTATTAAAAATAAACTTGTTACACTAAAACATTTTGATGAGGAGAACCTGAGATTCTCGCTGAGTAGATTTTGGAAAGTGCAATGTAACTAAGCCAAGGCCCAGCGGCACAGAGTGGAGAGAATGGTGGGCTATGATGTTTTGGAAGTGCCATTGCTCATTTAGAAGCCAGAAAGTACAGCGCAGTGTCCATTGGGAGACTTGCGGAGAGGCCTGGTTTCACTGTGGTTGGAGCTTGCGAGGTCCTGGAAAGTGTCCTTGTGCTGTCGAAAACGGAGTAGGTGACAGCATGGACCTGGCGTGCAGTATAAACTGTGCCCACTCCCGACATAAGCACTTAGCTTTCATGCTGGCTCCTTGGAACATGCCATGTCTCAGATTTTTCGGCTTAACACATAATTTGCCAGTTACCGTTAGTGTTTCTTAAAAATGCTCTAGCTAAATGTTTCTTAGTGCTTTAAATGAAGCAAAAATGTTAGAACACAAACCCTTTTTTGTTATCAGAGTGCTGTAAAGTGTTTTTGCCAGCATATTAAGAAAATTATAAAGACTCAAGGAGGTATGGCACTCCTTTGAATTAGCGGTATTGAAGGTAGGAAGACTTAAGATCAGCCCAGCCTTACCGACTTTTCTTTCAGTTATTGGAAATTTTGAACTTCCAAATGACACTAGGTTTGAACAAAGACTGTATTGCCCAAATTGTATTAGAAAACCTGTATCCTTGAAAGTATTTATATTTTGCAGATTGTTCTAAGGGGTTAGTTTTTCCTGGATCTAGCTTGGGTTTATAGTAACTGATAGTTGAGCATTGAATTTACATGTGGATGACTTGCATATCAAAGCTATGCACTCCTTAGGAATGTGAAAGATGGGCCTCTGTTTTCAACAGTTCTGGGAGTTCCTTACCACCACTTCTAATTCTGTTTCTAAGACCCCACTCTGGGCCAAGAATTTCTGGGAATCCCAAAGCCTTCAGGAAGTATGTAATTATTTCCCCCTTGTTCTTGGTAAAATTAAGGAAATCAAATAACATTGCATGTGCTGCATCTTTTTAATGCTTTTGGGCGTGCCTTCATGCGTTTTGTTAAACTGCTGGTACAAAAAGAACTTTCTTAACAGCAGAATCCTTTTTTTTTGTCAGTTTGGTTAACCACCTGCACTACTTCTAAAGTGACCATTCCATTTCAGAGATGAAAAGTCACTTCATAAACAATATATATTTAGAGCAGGACTTGGCTTTCCAATTTTTTACTTACATTGATAGTATATTTTCATTCATTTTGATGCCATTATTTGCCAACTTTTTTTTGACTTTCAATTCACATTTCAAATTATTGCCCTTGCAGAAAAGTCTAGTTTACAGTGACAGGAAGCAGTTTTCTGGTTGCCTTGGTTGTGTGGGGTGGAGTCAGATTTACTACAAAAAGCACATGGAGAACATACCTTTATGGTAATTATGATAATACAGTTGTAGATGTTTGTCAGAATGGATGCATGTTATTGCATGTAGACTGTTGATAAATAAGGTGGATGAGAAAAGAAATAGTTTCAAGTTTTAGGATCTCCAAATCTAAAACCATACAAAGAATAAGAGTAATAGAGTCATAGAAAGCAAAGTAGAGGGGCCAGTGCTGTGGCATAAAGGGTTGAGCTGCCAGCATACCGTATGGATGCTGGTTCAAGTCCCGGCTGCTCCACTTTCCATCCAGCTCCCTGCTGACGTGCCTAAGAAAGCAGCAGAGGATGGCCCATGATGCTTGGGCTCCTGCACCCATGTGGAAGACCCAGATGAAGCTCCTGGCTCCTGGCTTCAGCCTGGCCTAGCCCTGGCCATTTTGGCCATTTGGGGAGTGAACCAGCAGAAAGAAAATCTCTGTCTCTCTCTCTTTGTCACTTTGCCTTTCAATTAAGTAAAATCTTAAAAAAAGTAGAAAGGCTAAACAGTTTGATCACCAGCATCTCCAGAGGTAGCCTATTTACTTACTTACTTGTGCCTCAGTGTCTTCATGTGTAGAATGGGGATAGTACCGTTCTTGTAGTTTTGATGGTTAAGAGAATACTGAATAAAGAGCAATGCCTGGCATACTGCTATAAACATGCTATGTCAGCCAGTTTAGCAGGCAATGAGAGGTTGAATCTACTAGATAATGTTCTTGAAATAGGTGGAAAAAAACCCCTCTGTTCCTGTGATTTATTACTCCAGAAAAGCTGTCAAGGATGTGACAGTCAGCAGGTAAGACTAGATCCAGTGCGTGAGGATCTGAATGTTAGAGGAAAGTGACCAGTCTTGTAAGTACTGCGGCTCTAGGACACGGAGGTTGATCTTGTCCTGGTTGAGGTTTTCAGCACGGGGCAGCAGTTAGTTGCCTGTGGTGGTCCATAATTGATCAAGTGTTCACCACTGAGAGGGTACATCAGAGTTTGTTAAAGATGGAATTAAACGATAAATATTTTGGTGCAAAACATTTTTAAATCCATACAAATGAGAATTCTTTTTATTTATTTATTTATTTATTTGACAGGCAGAGTGGACAGTGAGAGAGAGAGACAGAGAGAAAGGTCTTCCTTTGCCGTTGGTTCACCCTCCAATGGCCGCCGCAGCCGGCGCGCTGCGGCTGGCGCACCGCGCTGATCCAATGGCAGGAGCCAGGAGCCAGGTGCTTTTCCTGGTCTCCCATGGGGTGCAGGGCCCAAGCACCTGGGCCATCCTCCACTGCACTCCCTGGCCACAGCAGAGAGCTGGCCTGGAAGAGGGGCAACCGGGACAGAATCCGGCGCCCCTACCGGGACTAGAACCCGGTGTGCTGGCGCCGCTAGGCGGAGGATTAGCCTAGTGAGCCGCGGCGCCGGCCTTTTTTTTTTTTTTTTTTTTTTTTTGACAGGCAGAGTGGACAGTGAGAGAGAGAGACAGAGAGAAAGGTCTTTCTTTTGCCGTTGGTTCACCCTCCAGTGGCCGCTGTGGCCGGTGCACCGCACTGATCCAAAGGCAGGAGCCAGGTGCTTCTCCTGGTCTCCCATGGGGTGTAGGGCCTAAGCACTTGGGCCATCCTCCACTGCACTCCCGGGCCATAGCAGAGAGCTGGCCTGGAAGAGGGGCAACCGGGACTAGAACCCGGTGTGCCTGCGCCGCAAGGCGGAGGATTAGCCTATTGAGCCACGGCGCCAACCGAGAATTCTTAAAAGTTCATGAAAAACAGTTTTCATGGGCTTCAAACATCTTGCACCTGACAAAAAATTTTAATTCAATTCAAGTATTAAGTGTCCTCCTACTTCCATACAGTAGAATATGCTTAGAGATTCAAGAACCGAAATAATAGGATAAAGGAAATTTTTAGCACTTTAAGGTGAATTTTTTGTCTAAAAATCTTGATTAATTTTTTCCCATTAGTAGAATAGATGAAAGCTACCTGTTAAACAACAACAAAAACCAGCGGTACTAATCAAGAAATTCATACTTTACTCTTTATTTACCTTGACATGTATCTTTCTGAATGAGTGGCCCCTTTCTATTGCCGTTAGTGATTGCTTGAATGTTTCCCTGAGATTCATTTTCTAGCTGGAGTTGCTTAAAACACACATCCTTACCCAGGGCAGATTTAATCATTTGTGGTGTAGCGGCCTGTAGAATGCCCAGGTTGTGGTTTACTGCTAAGTACTAGATTTTATGCAGATAAGCGTAAATTTACTCCTTTGGTAAAACAAAAGTAATTCCTCAGCTTTTCATGTCTACCACAGCATGAAAGAGATTGGACAGTTGGACTAAATGTAGTCAGGTTCTTGGAATATAAAACTGTTAGTGTTAAAAATAAAGCTAAGTATTATTGTATTTCATGAAATTTGACTAAAAGTATATCTTATTGAGGAGTTGTTTTGGAATATTTTGGGAACCATTGAATCGGGATACACTTCCAGGAAAGGAACCATCACCTTACTCGACTTCTAGCATGGGGCCTGGGGAGGGGGGTAGGTGGGAGGAATCAAGGACACAGGCAGGAAAAGACTGAGGTTTTATACGACGGGTTGCTGAGACAGCCGGTGTAGGCCTGTTATTAATGTGGCAGTCTGAAAGCGGTACCAGACAGTGAGACAACAAACCAATATTATGTCAGTGTATGCTGCTACAGAGAAGAAGAGGTGAACTGGGGGAGGAGGAGAGGTTTATTTGGTTGATTGATCAGCTGATTGACTGATTGGAGAGGGATAGGGTTAAGTCTGAATGAAGCTTTTTTTTTAATCAATTCTTAATAACTGGCTTATACCTTGTTACTGATTTTGATGACATTTTTATCTTAACATTTATCCTGCAGTTATGTGTTATGGATGCAGTGTATTGAAGTCAGACTAGAATTTTAATAATTTCTTGGCTGCAAATAGTTGTCTATATTTTCTAAAATTTATTTGAAAGGCTGTGAGAGAGGAAAAGATCTATTTGTTGGTTCACTCCTGAAATGCCTGCAACAGTAACAAAGCCAGGTGTCCAGAACTCAGCCCCAGTCTTCCATGTGAGTGGCATTGACCCAAATCCTTGAGCCATCACCTGCTGAAAAGTCTGCATCCCAGACTTTTCAAGTGGCTTCTTAATCCATCCTGTCAGATGCCTGCCTCAAGATGTCTAGTTAAAATGAGTAAAATTTTATGTTACAAAAGCATAACACAAGATACTAATGTAGCCTGGGTCTGCAACACTGGGTACCTAGGTTGACCATGGCTTATGATAAATTGTGCACATAAGTGAATTACCCTCTGAAGAAGCAATACTGAGGGACTGATGTTCCTCACAGCCACGAAGTCACTGCCTGGGATGCCGGCACCCCCTATTGGAGTGCCTAGGTTGAGTTCCGTTTACTCTACCTCCAGTTGAGCTTCCTGCTTATGCACACTCTGGAAGGCAGCAGGTGATGGCTTAAATACCAGAGTCCCTGCCACCCACGTGGGAGCTCGGGATTAAGTTCCAGGCTCCTCCGCATCTGTCTTTCCCAGCTCTGTTGGAGGTATTTTGGGGGAGGGAACCAGTTGATCTCTCTGCCTTTTAGATAAGATGAAAATAGAAATTTTTAAATAACATTGTACTGGGCTTGTTTTTTTTAGAGATTTACTTTTATAGTTGCGTTTACTTTTCAGTGGGCATTGTTTCTGAGTGTTACCTGATTATGTAAATTCCTCACTAAATTGGGCACGTGGCATAGGCTTTCATAACTATTGAAGTAATACCAACTTTGATGCAATTTCTGTTTTGACAGTTTGTTGCATATTCTAAGGACCCAGACATAGGCTTGGTGGCCCGTCTCTTGTTTTTCCTGGTTTATGACTTTCGGCTTTGTGGAATACGGCTGAGATGAAAGGATTTATTGACGATTTTGGTGTGGTCATCAAATTGTGGCTATAGCTGTGCTACATTAACCTTCTTAGTTACTTGATAAGTTGGGTGTAAGATGTATGAGGATACTTCTGAAAAGTTATGGAGATGGAATTAAAAATCAATTTTGAGCCGGCGCCGCGGCTCACTAGGCTAATCCTCCGCCTAGCGGCGCCGGCACACCGGGTTCTAGTCCCGGTCGGGGCGCCGGATTCTGTCCCGGTTGCCCCTCTTCCAGGCCAGCCCTCTGCTGTGGCCAGGGAGTGCAGTGGAGGATGGCCCAGGTGCTTGGGCCCTGCACCCCATGGGAGACCAGGAAAAGCACCTGGCTCCTGGCTCCTGCCATCGGATCAGCGCGGTGCGCCGGCCGCAGCGCGCCGGCCGCGGCGGCCATTGGAGGGTGAACCAATGGCAAAGGAAGACCTTTCTCTCTGTCTCTCTCTCTCACTGTCCACTCTGCCTGTCAAAAAAAAAAAAAAAAATCAATTTTGATGTGTAAAGCTGAAAGGCTAATCTCATGATAAGGTGGAATTACCACCTTGGAAATCACTGAGCACACGTGGGCGTAGAACCTGTGTGTGTTCATATGCATTTCCACTAACCTTTAGATGTGTCCTTGTATTTTCGGTTGTTCTCCTGTATAGGTAATGGCTTTAATCTACTTAAACACTCAACTTTTCTTGAGTGGTTTACCTACATGAAAGTGTCTTTGGACCCTCCTTCATAGATTCCAGGTGGTTTCCTTTAGCTTCACATTTTTCTTAACATAAATTCAATCTTTTTTGACAACTGTGTACATCCAGAGGTACTTTTTGCAAGTTTTGGGGCAGAATTCACATTGTGAACTGATGTTATTTTAAGGCTTTAGAATAAGAGTGAAAGTGTATTATTATTGGGCAAACTGTAGAGAACACCTGGTTTTCTTTTTAAAAAAAATTTCCTATTTGTGATCTTCTGAAGAAAGGTTTGGGTTGGGCTGTTTGCTCTTTTAGATTGTAAACTGCTACATTCTTGAGAGAACTGACCTGTTGCCTTAAGTAAAATAATTTGCTTTTACTGGCTTTGCCCTTTGATTGTCACTTATTCATCAGGACTTTTCTTGGGTAAAGAGTTTCACAAACAACATTTGTGTATTATTACATTTAGTGCAGAGGTGTGGAACCTTTTTTCTGCTAAGGGCCATTTAGATATTTATTAACATCATTTGCAGGCCATAACATTTATCATTTTAAAAATTGGCCTGCCACAGATTTACTGAATTTCAAGTCCTGCTGCGGTCACCTCGGCAGGACTAGCTAGACCAGGTGACTTTGGGGGCCCAGGAGCTGGATGGTCACCACTTCTGGTTTAGTGGTTAATTCTAATAATAGAAAAATTGAATTAGCCTGATAATTCTGTCTTGGTTGTGATAGTTTGGAAAGAAATACCAAATTGAGTTCAGTCAGTAAACTAAGTTTGCAGTTGAGAAACATAAAATAACTCAAAGCTTCTCAAGTTTTTTGTTTAGAAAACTGCTGGGATGCAAGGGATGAATAGGAGGCGCATCGGGAGTGTGCAGTGAGAGTGACTTGGCTAAGGACAATTTCGGGACTTTTTGGAGACATTTAAAGCCCTGATATTTGTATTGAAAGACAATTATGGCATTGCTATTCAATTTAGTCTTTCTAGGTGGATTGATGGACTTCATTTGAAAGTAATGTCGTCTTTCATTACAGGGCCCAACCGACTCTTGCTGCTACAACAGTCTTAACTTGCGCCTTTTCCAAATTCCCAACCTTGTAAGCTTCATGCTGTAGGTCCTAATTGCTAGTTTTTTCTCTATACAGGATTGTTTTTCATTAGGTTCACTTGACTCATCCGACGCTGGATTTTGGAGCACTGGCAACATAATCAACACACTTCCTACAATCTTCAGGCTTCACATGTGCTGATGATGGTGTAAACCAACTCTGCCCCAATCATCTTCCCCTTCTCTTAGGGTCTTACTACATATTGCAACAGAAGATTATATTGGAGGTGAAGAGGGTAACATGAAGTTTGGCACCTCACTGAAGAACTGTAGGCATCTGTTGGAATGTGCTAAGGAACTAGATGTGCAAATAATTGGGGTTAAGTAAGTATTTTTTTTTTTTAATTTTGTTTTATGGTGATAACATGTTGCTGGTTATTGGTGTAAGACTTTATTTTCATGAAATCTTAAGATTTGACTTCTCTGGGTTTGTAAATGTATATAAGAAAAACAAACATGCTTTCTCCTTTGTTACTGTACCTCTCCTAGAGACAAAGCAGCCCATAATGTCCTGATTAAGTTAGTGCAGTGTCATTGATTCAGCTTCTTTGGGTTGGGTGGAGTGGATTAGAAGTCTAATGCATGTTAAAATGACACTCAAGGGGCTGGCCTTGGCACAGTGGGTAAAGCTGCCACCTGCCACCTTGGCTTCCCATGTAAGCACTGGTTCAAGTTCCAGCTGTTCCGCTTCCTGATCAGCTGCCTGCTAATGGCCTGGGAAAAGCAGCGGAAGATGGCCCAAGTGCTTGGGCCCCTGCCATCCATGTATGAGACCTGGAATAAATCTTTAAAAAACAAAATGATATTCAACTTCTAAGTTACATTATTGCGTTTTTGTTTCCTGTGTGAAGACTTTTTCCTCCTTTTAATCCCCATGGAGGGATGAGTTGGTGTTTGGTATAGCTTTATAGTTTATTTATATATTTATAAAAATATATTTATATATTTATAAAGTTTATATGTAAACTACACAGTTTATATATACATAGTTTATTATTTATTTGAAAGAAGGCAGAGTTGGAGGGAGAGAGAGCCGTCTTACCTTCCATCTGATAGTTCATTTCCCAAATGGCTATACCAACAGGGACTGGGCTAGGCCAAAGCCAGGAGCTGGGAGCTTCATCTGGATCTCCTGTATGGCTGCAGGTGCCCAAGCATTTGGGCCATCTGCTGCTGCTTTCCCCCTGCACATTGACAGGGAGCTGGATCAGAAGTGTAGCAGCCAACACTATTTGAACCAATGCCCGTATGGGATGCCTGCATCACAGGCAGCTGCTTAACCTACTATGCCACATATGTCCAAGTATCCCAAGAGCTATACCAAGGGGCTGGTATAGTGGGTTAAGCAGCTGCCTGTGATTTCAGCATCTCATATCGGCGTTGGTTCGAGACTGGAGGGCAGGGGTTTGAGTCCTGGCTCTGTTTCCAGCCTAGCTCATGGGTCCCTGCCACCCATGTAGGAAACCCAGATTGAGTTCTGGGCTCCTGGGTTTGACACTATTGTGGGCACTTAGAAAATGAACTAGCAAATGGAAGATATCTATCTGTCTTTCTTTTTCATTCCCTCCCCCACCCCTTTTCCTCCCTCTTCCTGTTTCTCTCCCTTTCAAATGTGTAAAATAAGTAAATAATCCCAGGGCACTTTAGTATGTGTTTGTGTCCTCCTCCTCTCCCTTGCCCACTCCCCTTCTCTTTTTCTGTTTGTCTAAAAGGTTTATCCACTGGTTCACTTTCCAAATGCCTGCAGCATTTGAAGCCTGGACCCTGAAGCTCTCCATGTCTCCTGTGTCATGGCAAGGGCCCAGGTACCTTGCTGTCTCCCAGGATACATTAGCAGGAAGCTGAACTGGAAGCAGAGCCCATCCCTCCTTTTTGTTGTTGGGTTTTTTTTTTATTATTATTATTATTATTATTATTATTATTTGTTTTATTTGAGAGGTAGAGTTACAGAGAGAGAGGTCTGCCATCTACTGGTTCACTCCCTAAATGGTCTCTCATGTGGGTGCAGGGCCCCCAGCACTTGGACCAACTTCCACTGCATTTCCCAGGGAGCTGGATCAGATGTGGAGCAGCTGGGACTTGAACCAACACCCATATGGGATGCTGGTGGCGGAGGTGGAGGTGGAGGCTTAACCTACTGTGCCACAGCACCCGCCCCGGTGGGTTTTTTTAGTGTGAGATAACCAAGACCTGAAGAAGTTTAATGATTTTATTGTAGTTTGAGTACAAATTGAGGACATAGCAACAGTAAGTTCTAGATTTTCTGGGTTACTAGTCTTGGTTTAGTGAAAGGTCTTGGTTTTTAACTGACCACAAAGGTGATCTTGTTAATAGTTTGTCTTTCTGTACCATTTTGTGTATAGACATAGGTGATTTTTAATGAAATGTTTATAAATGAAGAATTGAATCTTGCTATACGCCAAACAATAGACTCCATGTCTGTCCAGCTAGTTGGTAATGTTGGCATGTTTGAGAACTCAAATTTCAGTGTACTTTTATTCTTTAAGTTAAGGAAAAATCAACTTTTTAGGAATACAGTTTATGAATTTTAACATTTGTATAACCACTGCTGTAATCAAGAAATAAAACCGTATTTCAGTGAAATTTAAGTATTCTGTTTGGAAGCTTTAATAGTAACACTAAAAAAAGTATGACTTACTCAATTCATTTGTGGGGTCAACACTGTGGCGTAGTAGGTAGAGCCACAATCTGTGTTGCCACCATCCTATATGGGCGCTAATTCAAGACCAGGCTGCTCCACTTCCGATCCAGCTCCCTGCTATACCCTGGGAAAGCAGTAGAAGATGGTCCAAGTCCTTGGGTCCTAGCACCCCCGCATGGAAGACCCGGAATGGCTTTGGATGAGCCCAGCTTCCACCATTGCCTCCGTTTGGGAAGTGAATCAGTGGATGGAAGACCTCTCTGCCTGTCCCTCTCTGCAACTCTGCATTTCAAATAAATAAATAAATCTTTAAAAAGAATTCATTTGTATTTTTATTTTGGCACAATTGACGCAATTTTGTATTTGGTTAGATGAATTGAATGTTTAGAGCTTTTATGATCCAATTTGATTGGCACTTGTTACTTCATACACATAAGCATTTCCTGCTTAATTTCCATTGAGCTTGATTTCTTAATAAAATTCTGCTTATAGAATGAGGATAATCAGGTTAATTGATGATGTGTATACTTCCAGTGTACATTCAGTGAATGATAAGTTAAAGGACTTACAGGACTATAAAACTTGCTGCTTTATTGTTCTGTTTCTTTATTTCAGATTTCATGTTTCAAGTGCTTGCAAAGAATCTCAAGTATATGTCCATGCTCTATCTGATGCACGATGTGTTTTTGACATGGCTGTGAGTTCTTTGTTTATTTTGTTATTTTTAAGCCAGAATATTTGTTAAGACTAAGACGATGTTTTCTACCTGTGTGAATTTCTCTCATCACACTTAATGTCATACACACTTCAGATAAGCATTCCAGGCTTAATGCATTCTTAGTAAATGGGCAAAAGAGTGAAATAGTAATATACTATAAGACAATACAGAAAAGATCATAAGGACAATATATATAGCATCAAAATTAGTGTTTTTTTTTTTTTAAATAAAACTCAAGAGAATTTGGTATACTAAAGATCAGAACAGATATTTAAAGTGTGTTTTTCATTTCTAGGGAGAATTTGGCTATACCATGAACATGTTAGACATTGGTGGAGGCTTCACAGGAACTGAGTTTCAATTGGAAGAGGTAACTTTCTCAGTGCATAGACAATTTGAAAATAACTTTGTTACTTAAATAGAGGGCATAAGGCAATAACATTTAAAATCATAAGAAAATGTAGTTGGGGCCGGTGCTGTGGCGCAGTGGGTTAAAGCCCTGGCATGAAGCGCTAGCATCCCACATGGGCGCCGGTTCTAGTCCTGGCTGCTCCTTTTCCAATCCAGCTCTCTGCTGTGGCCTGGGAAAGCAATAGAAGATGGCCCAAGTCCTTGGGTCCCTGCACTTGTGTGGGAGACCTGGAAGAAGCTCCTGGCTCCTGGCTTTGGATCAGCACAGTTCCCCAGCGCAGCTCCCCAGCCATCAAGGGAGTGAACCAGCCAGATAGAAGACCTCTCTCTCTGTCTCTACCTCTCTCTGTAACTCTGTCTTTCAAATAAATAAATGTCGCTCCCCCTCTTCGTGGAGGAACGACACAGGACCCTGCGCTGTTCTTTCGTCTGCTCGGCCCTCCCCGGGTTTGCTGCTGGTTCTTCCCGGGTTGGCTACTATCCCTTCCACCTCCGTGGAAGGGCAGTTCCCCCTGGCCGCATTCCCCACTTCCGCAGGGGAGCGGCACACCGCCGGCCGGCTTTCTTCGGGGGCTGCACGGGTTCCCTTAGATGTTCCCCATAGATGTTCCTGGTGCATGCCGTCTCTCTCCTCCTTTATAGTCCTCCTCCGCCAATCCCAACTCGGCTGAGTACGCTGCTCTCCAATCAGGAGCAAGTCCTACAGTTAATTGGTTGAACTGGAGGCAGCTGTGCGGAAGCTGTTTACTTCTCTCCCAGCGCCATATTGTGGGAGAGCAGATGCATAGAATAAGTCCTAATTCGAGTAACTTAGTCTAGTCCGGATTGCTCCCCACAAATAAAATCTCTCTTTTAAAAAAAAAAAAAAAGGAAGAAAGAAAATGTAGTTAGTTGGAGTTTAAGCTGCCACCTGCAACTCTGGCAACCCCATATAGGTGCCAGTTCAAGTCCAGCTGCTTTACGTCTCATCAAGCTCCCTGTTGATGCACCTGGGAAAACAGCAGAAAATGGCTGAATTGGTTGAGCCCCTGGACTGATGTGGGAGACCTAGAAGAAGCTCCTGGCTCCTGGCTTCAGTCTGTTGCAGCCATTTGAGGAGTGAACCAGCAGATAGAAGATCTCTCTTCTCTAACTCTTCCTTTTAAATAAATAAATCTTTTTTAAAAAAGAAAGGAAATACAGTTAGCTTCAAAAAATTTGATAAAATCCTTTGAATCCTGTAACATCACAAAAAGTTTCTAGTTCTGTTGTTTTTCTGTACTTTTTATAATTAAAAAAAATTTTAAAGCATTTATTTGGAAGGCAGAGTTATTTGGAAGGCATGTGGTACAGGGGCCCCAAGCACTTGGGCCATCTTCCACTGCCTTGCCAGGTGCATTAGCAGGGAGCTGTGCTATCTTCCACTTCCTTCCCAGGTGCATTAACAGGGAGCTGAATCAGAAGTGGAGCAGGTGGGACTTGAATCAGCACCCCAAGTGGCATCTTTACCCACTATGCCACAGTGCTGGCCCCATGTGTTTCTGTACTTGATGTCATGAATGAACCCACAACTTTGATAACTTTAGTTATTTTCTTTAGATGGACTTCATTCCTTAGCTCCTCACCTTCCTCCTGCCCTCCTCCTTTTGTTTTCTATAGTATGTAGAAACTTCATTTTTTTTTAAAGACTTATTTATTTGAAAGACAGTTGTGTGGTGAAGGTGGAGAAGAGAGTAGGGGACACAGAAACCTCCATCTGTGGGTTCATTCTCCAAAACAGCTGGGGCAGGGCCAGGCTGAAGCAGGAACCTAGAACTCCATGTAGGTGGCAGGGAGCCAAGCATTTGGGCCATCTTCTGCGGCTTTCCCCATGTACATTAGCCCTGATAGGAACCAGTGCTTATATGGGATGTCACCATCATGGGCAGTGGCTTAACCCATTGTGCCACAAAGTCAACCCCCCATGATTTAAAATCTTGCTGCTTATAGCAGTCAAGTATAGAAAAATGACTTTAAAAAAAACAAAACCAGTAGGTATTTGCTATTGGAGTTAGGTGTATATTTTTTTTAATTGTCTTCCTGGCAGTTACAAGATAAACTTTGGCTTGAAAACCTGCCTAATTAATTACTTGAAGATAACTTCAAAATTGCTCAGCTTCATAGTGTGTAATTGGAATTATGTGGTTTTCCTAGAAAACTTTATTATTAATTATTTAATATTGTGATTTATGTTATCCAGTACTGACACTGTAATCTGGGATTATAATCCATAGGTTAATCATGTTATCAGCCCTCTGTTGGATGTCTACTTTCCTGAAGGATCTGGTATTAAGATCATTTCAGAACCTGGCAGCTACTATGTGTCTTCTGCATTCACACTTGCAGTTAATATCATTGCAAAGAAAGTTGTTGAAAATGGTAAACTTTCCTCTGGAGGTGAGTTCTAAATTTCAGTTTTGTTTCTGTTAGTGGATCATTCTCTTAGTTTCTAGGTAAAAGGACGGGTGCTTCTTAGCCAGCTGTAGGCAGCCGGGGAACTTTGCAAAAAGCCATAGCCAGGATCCTATTCTGTGATATTTCATGAATCCAGCTCTCTTGGTATACTGATGGTGCAGATACGAATGTTGTGATTAAACTATCAGGTGATTGTTTCTCGTCCTTTGTGCCACTATTTCCTTGTGATCTGTCTTATTTTCCTCTTCCCTTATGTGGGTCACAGGAAGACTCTGCCCATAGTTCCTTACATACCAAGGGCCTACAAAAAGAAAGTCTTTCAGTTTGGTGGGGAACATCCTGCCCATGGGCCATCTAAGGCCCGTGAAATCATTTTGTAAAAAGTAGCGATCATTGAATCTGTTAATTTATCTTACTGTCCCAGATTCGAGTCCTTGTGTGACATGTCCCTAATACTTTTTCTGGTGCGTCAGGGTGTTTCGGGCTCATTTTCTCCTTTCCCTGCCTCAATCCTGTACTCGGTTGTTTCTGCAAGGGGTCCTTGTTCATTTTTGTGCACTAAAAGCAGAACTGCTGGGTCAGAGAACAGATGTTTTCAAAGGTGAAAGTGTTTCCAGTAAGTAGGTGGTGGTAGTGGTTCATTGTGGTTGTAAATTGCTCTTCTCTTCTAAGTTGATAATGCAGAGCACTTTTTCATGTGTTCATGGGTCCCCTTTGTGAACGGTGTGTTCCATTTTTTAGGCTGTTTTGTTTGAGGGTTTATCAGTAGTAGGTATCAGTCTTGATTTTGGAGTTAAATCGTTTGAGAAATGTGGAAATTGCATCCATTTGTTTTAAATATATCAGTCCATTTAATAATGCCTTTTACACTATTGTGCAGTTTACTATAAATTGATCTTTGCTTTCCCTGTTTTATTTCAGTAGAAAAAACCGGAAGTGATGAACCAGCCTTCGTGTATTATATGAATGATGGTGTTTATGGTTCTTTTGCAAGTAAACTGTCTGAGAACTTAAATGCCATTCCAGAGGTTCACAAGGCAAGTTCTATTACAAAGAACGCTAAGACCTGTTTGGCAGTTTACAAACCAAACTGCTGGGTTTTTGTTTTCTAAGGGTATACCCCAAATTTTTTTGGAAGTGCTCTACAATGGGGGGAGATACCTTTTTTTTAGGATTCACATATTGTGGCTGAGTCACTTTAGTTCATTGCCCTGACATGGAGTTAGCGGTACCACTGAGGCTAAAGCAGGAGCAGCCTGGCCCGTGGGCCTACGCTGTCCTTCCGTGGCACGTTGAGTCTGACACAGTGAAGAATGCTTATCCATCCAACAAATTCAGTATCTGAGAGTGAATAAAAACTTAACTCTAAAGAGAGCAACACTTTTCTCTTCCTACAGAAATGCAAGGAAGATGAGCCTCTGTTTACAAGCAGCCTTTGGGGTCCATCCTGTGATGAGCTGGATCTAATTGTGGAAAACTGTCTTCTTCCTGAGCTGAATGTGGGAGACTGGCTTATCTTTGATAACATGGGAGCAGACTCCTTCCACGAACCGTCTGCTTTTAATGATTTTCAGAGGCCAGCTGTTTATTACATGATGTCATTCAGTGATTGGTAAGGTGTTTTTATGTTTGTGTTTGTTTTTTTAAAGATTGATTTATTTGAAAGGCAGCTTAGAGAGAGAGACAGAGGGACATCTACTGGTTCACTGCCCAGGTGGTTTCAAAGTCTGGGGCAGGGCCAGGCTGAAGCCAGGAGTCAGGAGCTTCTTCTGGGTCTCCCTCCTGACTGCAGGGCCCCAAGCACTTGGGCATCTTCCGCTGCTTTCCCCGGCCACAGCAGAGAGCTGGATTGGAAGAGGAGCAGCTGGGTGGTTTTACTTTTAAACAAACGGGTTATGTGAGGTGATGTTTTTTTTATTTGCTAATAACTCCTGTATCAAGTATGTGACTTAAACTAATAGGTAAATGATATAAACTTTTTAAGGGTTGTGGAAAGACTAGGTATAATCCTATTTCCTTGTCCATTTGTGATGTGATCGCTGTGGTCTTTGGGCTGAAATTCAACTTTTTGCTTATTTTTATGTAGGTATGAGATGCAAGATTCTGGAATTACTTCAGACACAATGATGAAGAACTTCTTCTTTGTGCCTTCTTGCATTCAGCTGAGCCAAGAAGACAGCTTTCCCACTGAAGCTTAAACAGGCACTAACGCTTCTTTAGATCTGAAGTTGCAGGTTAAGCTTGTCTGGTCTACATTCCAGTGTGGGGGGAAAATTCAAACAATCTTATTTGTTAATTATCTTGGAAACAAAAATGATTAGTAATAGCCAATTGGGACCAGACGAAATCAGTTTTCATCAATAATTCACTGGGGGTAATGGGAGATTTAGATAATGTATCCAGATTTAAACTTACCAGTTTGTTCTACCCCTTAAGCGTTTAAAATAAAATATGCAACAAAATGGATGACTTAGCGGAGATGGAAGCCCATTAATTGGGTTCCCCATTAAACCGTTTACATACAAGTACACAGTTTTTATACTAAGGATTCGTGTTTAAAAGTCTTGTAAAGTTAATGTCTTTCACCCAGATATATCAGATGTCAGTGGAAGACGACCAGTGTGACTTCATTAGATACGTTTAGTGTATTTAGGATGTGTAAATTTGTGCTTTGAACTGTAGTTTAATAAATGTAAAATTGCATCATAGTATTTGTTGTATTTGACCTAATGTAACCCTTGTATGATTGCAATAAAATTTTGTGTAGATTTTACTGTTTTTTCAGGCTAAAACTTTGGGGAAGGGGCTAGCTAGCAAAGGTAGTTTTGGAATAGATGTGTATATGGACTGTTGTTGAAGGTTATTTTTCTTTATAGCCCACTTTAAGTTTAGTTTGGCTCAGAACTTTTTCAGTTATTTAATTAGTAATTTAAGTAAAGTGTTTGGTAAATCCTTGTGACGCTCAGATTCATTATGGAGAGTTGATGTGCAGTAGTAGGCATGATGTTAACAGTTTAACACCAAAAATGCTAATCTTGAGTAAGCCAGTTGTCATCAGTGGGTGTTTCTGTATAGATAGGATACATAGAGTACCTTAGTGAGTTCTTGGAATCACAGATCTTTTGGCTGAAGTGGAAGATTCTGTTAAACACTTGGGTAAATGTGGGGGAAGGGAGATAAAATTTCAGAAAGCTGCAGAGCACTAAAACTTAAAGAAGGGCTACACCTCTATCCAGAAACCTGACGCTCTTTTGCACGGATATTTAAATTCAGAGTGGGGGGTGGGGTGAAGCACACTTACTTTCTTCAATTTTCTAATTTCAGTCATGGCAAGTTTAGGCTTTTTTTGATTTGGGTTTGTACTATTCCCTTATTTTCTTATTTCCCATTTGTTCAGCTTAGTAATTGCTTTTAATTCTTTTTATACTAAATCTTTATGGTGATTAGGGGAAGGGAGTTAGCATCACTAACCTGACAGTTGTTGCCAGGAATTTGCTTTGTTCACTGCTAGTATATTAGTAATCCTAGATCTCAGAATCACAATAGTAATAAGCAACAAGGGTCATTTTTTTCCTAACTTACTCTATGTTCGGATGTGGAATTTCTGTCTCCCAAGAGGAAATGTGACTTCACTTTGGTGCCAACAGACAGAAAATTCTACCTGTGCTACATAGGAGAAGTTTGGAATGCACTTAACAGCTGGTTTTTGCACCTTGATTTCAAGGTGGAAAGAAATTAATCATGAATCTCTAATAAATTTGAATCTCAAACCAGTAGGTGCTTACTACTTTTGATTTGATTATACCCATTTGAATTTCATGGGTTCTATTAATGAAAATAAAATTAGGACCCCAAAGTCCTTGTCATTTAATTCCCTTGGACTTTTCCAAGGGGTAATATTTATGGGGTTTTATGCAAAATTCCAAGCTGCATTGCAACATTTTTCTTTTTATAAATCATAGCAAGGAGGAGGAATTGTTCCCTACCTTCTTTACATGTACATTGTTGTGGTCCAGAAATGCCAAACCTTTTAAAAGGTGGTACAGCTTTTGAGTTCTTGACTGCAGGCTTGAGCTTCACGGCGTGTCAGTTTTGCTGTGTCTGTCGGAGAGCTGTTTTACGTGAAATAGCTCGGAGTTGCAAATATTACATGGGAATGATTTGGTAACGTAAAGAAATGTCTGTGTTGTATTTTAAAGACTGTTTGCCATAAATCTGAAGTTTGAACCTTGTATTTCAATTTGGTATGCTAAAACAGTTCATGAATTAATGTAAAAAGAATTTTTTTTACAATATTGTAATCTCAGTTCAAGATTTAACTGAAAATATACGACCCAAATGATTTCTATATAGTAAAATGAACTGTAAAGGTGACTTGTGTGTGATTCTGAATACACAGATAAAATGTTTTTATTCCTCATGTTTTATTTGGCGTCATGAAATAGAGGGGAAATTGTACATAGCTGCTTTTTGTACATAACTTGCAAGTGTTCTTTAGGAATCTTCCTGGATTTGTTACCAAGTAGATTGAATATGTTGTAGAGCAGTGCTGGGAGCTAGGTATGGAATGGTGAGGGTGTTGGTAAAGTTCAGTAATGTATACTAAATGAAAGAACCAGCAGCTCTAAGGTGGTGTAAGGTAATGGAGTCGAGGCTGCATTGGCAATAGAGGGGGTGGCATAGGAGTACAGAAGATCTTGTGATAAATGGGTAGCATCTTCCTGTGGTTAACTTTGGCCCTAGAGTCCATTTGAGCTGTTTCCTGAATAATGGTGTTAGGCTTATTTGTGCGTGTTGGCGCTTACAACTTTGTTGCCCCTCAGTTTTTAGCAAAAATCTGCAGAGGGTGGGACACATGGCTAAAGTTTGTCATTTTACTTCTGTAGATTTCATTGGTTTCCTATTTTCTGAGCCCTGTAATTCTAAGTCTTGTGTTTTTCACTTCGGTGAAATTGGAAGTTTTTAAACTTCCAAGCGAAATTGGAGCAAACCATTTATTTCTAACATTATTCAGGTTTTGACATCTTAACCTACTTCCTTCCAGCCCTGAATATTCTGGTTTTTATCTTAAATTGTCTTTTTAAATGATTTTTTTCATTGTTTGAAAGGTGGAGAGGCAGAAGGAGGGATCTGCATCTGCTGATTCACTCCCAAAATGGCCGCAACACGTGGGGCTGGGCCTGGCCAGAGCCAGGAGTGTGGAACTCTTCCTGGGCCTGCCAAGTAAGTGACAGAGGCCAGCATCCACTGCTTTTCCAGGTGCATTAGCAGGAAGCAGAGTAGTGGGACTCCACACTGGCCATGCTGCGGCATCTTAAGGAGTTGCCTCACAGCACCCACCCTTCTTCTGTTTGTTTTGTACCTTTCATGAGTGGAAGGACTCCTTAACTACCTGGGTAAGCTTCGTGACCCAGTGGTAGAGAGCTAATGGGAGGATTTGAGTGCGGTTTGTCAGCTGAAAAAATGATCCTGTCCAGGCAAATTAGTTAAGACCTTGGGCTATTATATTGAGATCTTGCAGATTGGTACTCTGCCTGAGGGTGACGGGCCTGCCGCCAGCCAGCATCCTGGAAACCCAGCAGGGTGAGAGGGTTGAACTGCTGCCAGCGGGTAGGACGCCTGTACGGGGTGGGAGGGCCCTTGCCCAGGCCTGCCTTGTAGGAGAAAGGATCTTGGCTCTGTGGATCAGGAGTGCTGCCCTCCCCCACTTTTGGTTGCCACACTGCTTGAAATTGCATTTCCTGAAAATGCTGAATTAAATACTAATCTGCCTTCCAGCTTCCATTTTATTTTTTCTTCCCATCCTTGTCCAAGAATAGGTGTGCATTGCTAATCCGCTGGGGATAACATGCCGCTTGAAAAATACCACATGCGTAAGCATAATTGTCAAAGTAAGGGCCCTTTAGATTTGGGGAGACCAACTAATGTGCCTCAGAGAATGAAGTCGGGAAGGAAGTTGAAAGGCAGTGGGGTGTCCAAGCTAGGAGAGGTGGTGCTGTGCCCAAGGTTACAGCAGTAGTGCATGAAGAACCTAACCAATGAGCCTTTGCCTCTGATGCCACAGAAATAGAATTTAGTTTTTGCAGTCATCTAAAATTGCTCTCAACTTAAGGGCAAGTTAGGTGATGCTGCCTTCATGCTACCTCCCCATAGGAACTGGCTGGAGCGTATTTGGGACTCAGAATCAAGGGGGTCAGGGAGGGCGTTGGGAGTGCAGAGCTGAACAGATGAAGTTAACAGGGCCGGGAAGACTCGACCCTGCCTCCCCAGTGACATGGCACTGCGCTCCCTCCCTTACCACGCATGACTCGAGCTTGTCTTAAAGGAGGGGCTTCCAGCGCAGTGCTCAAAACTCAGTGCAATGAGAAATAAACACTACAAGCAGTGTTGCACTTCACCATGAAAAGGGAAGTGGAAGGGTTGCAGCTTGCAAGTTGTCCTCAGATGGGGAAGGAAGGGAAGGACATGGGATGTCAGATGGAAGTTAGGAGGCTGCCTGTGGATGGGGGTGGCCAGTAGCGCACCAGAATGCCTGGGATTGAGCCCTGCCTCCACTTCCCATCCAGCTTCCTGATAACGCGTCTCAGGAGGCAACCGTGGTGACCTACACACTTGAGCCCCAGCACCGCTACCTCCTTGGTAGACCTGGCTTCGGCCTGGTCCAGCCTTGTTATGAGCATTTGGAGAATGAACCAGCCGATAGAAGCCACTGTCCCTCCCTCTCTCTCTGCCTTTCAAACAAAACTTAAAGATGAAATGGGTAAGGTTAGCACAAACGACATCATCCTAAGATCATCCTGCTAAAATGGACCCCACTTGTAAGCGTCCATAGGATCCGGGGAGGCTTTTCACAGCACAGAGTTCCCCAGGCCAGAAAGCCAGAGGTGAGGTCTCATGGGTGCGGTGCAGGCTGCAGCTCCAGCAACCTGGTGGCGCTGGCAGGTCGTCCCACTAGATGGCGCTGCTAGACTGCCTTTGCTCCCAGTGTGCACAGCTGCTCTCACCTAGTGTTAAACTTTGTCCCTTTGCTGCTGCTTCCCAGCCTTTACATCGCTATAGTGTGTTTTGAGATGAGGACGAGTAGAAGGAAGGGACATCCCTGCCTCACTTTCCCTCCCCTGAGTCCAACAGCCTTTGCACTGCGCCTCCAGGCACATGGCATTCCCAGGTGGGCTCTGAAGGCCCTGGGGTTAAAGACCTCAGGTCCACCCCGAGGCGACTGCAGCCACACAAAGCCAAACTTGCTTAGCCTGGTCCACTCGGGGACCCACAGCGCAGGCCCACTTCAGAGGCAGGCAGAGGGTGAGAAAGGGCATTTGGGGGGGTAGGTGGGTGGCTGAGGCTAGCATGTGGAGGGGGTGGGGGGTGAAGGGGGACTCTGGCTAATTGGTTCAGGCCCAAAGCAGCGGCACTGTGTGGTGCTGTCCAGGAGTCTCGCTTTTTGTGATTGAGGAGTTAGAATCCTGAAGGTGGTTTCTCCAACACTGATTCTGAAATGTCTTAGCCGAAGTGTGTCTGGCTCGGGGCTCTGAAGTTTTACCACTGAAATATGGGTGCGCCAAGGTGAGACCTGGCCTGTCCTCCACCTTCCCAAGATGCCTTGCTCTCTCGGGGAGCCATGTTTTCTCTCCACATCTTCAGGCGGGTTTTTTCCATCAGGTGTCACCCCTTGCTGTGGGCCTCCGTGTCAGAGGCTAGGGGGGTGGCACTTCTTGTCTGAAACTGACATGAGTGTTTTTCATTTTCTCCTCGCTCTGTGATTCCCCAGTGCCTGTCAGCTCCCTGCAGGTGGGCTTTGTCCTCTGGCCATTGTGGTGGCTACGTCCCTTTGTGTTCTAGACAGCACCCCTGCCCCTGTTGTGGCCATCTGCCCCCACCCACCTTCCACCCCGCTCTGCACCAGGAGGCTGCCCTACGTGACTGCCTCAGTGGGGACAGGCATTCCCAGGCCCACTGCCGGCTAGCTGGATCTCAGCCTCCCACATAGCTCCATCAGGCTGTCTTGGGTCTGATTAGCCATTTCTTCTTGCCCTGTGCCTTCAACCCTGGGGAACTGAGCCTGCTTAGCTTCCTATGGACAGACCTGACCCTGCTTAGACCTCACTGATGGGTCCTGTCTGCCATCTGTGGCCCATATGTTCTCTGTACCCTCGGGTCCCAGCAGGCAGCCCCTCCTTTCCACTATTCTGGTCCTGAGATGAGAACTCCACACAATACCTCGGGGACAAGCAAGTAAGACAGAATCTCGCATTCACTCGCACATTTGTGGACTCCTCCTCGGTGCCAGGCGCTGGGAACGGTTCCTGGGGGAGACGGGCGTGGGTCTAGTCTGTGCGCGCAGCTCAGGCTGAAGAGGAGCAACACACGGTGCTTGAAGGCACGCTCCCCTGGGGAGGTGACAGTCGCTCGGAGATGTGAATGAGCAGTAGGAGCTAACTAGATGGAGAGACGGCGAGCATTCCGTGCAACTGGTGCAGGGCGTGCAGCAGTGAGAAGCAGGAGGCCTCGGCCAGGTGCCACAGGAGCATAGGCTTGGCACACAGGTGTCACTACAGGGCCACCAGGCTGGGCCCTGCGCCCTGCGGACTTTGTATGGATGTCCAGTTTTTATTAAGAGAAATGGGAGAAGACATTACTGTTTTTATAGCTAGCGTCTCAAACCATTCTGCAGGTCATGAGCCTGGACAGCTGCTCTCGAGGGCCCTGGGGTGTGTGTGTGGGCATTTGTGCTTCAAAGGGCTTTGTCCAGCTCTCTTAGGGAGAAAGGACGGAGTAGGCATGGAGTTGGCAGTGGACCCAGTGGGAGTGGGGGAGGGGAGAAGCCCAGGCACTCTGATACGGGACACGACATCCTTGGCAGCGGCCTAACCTGCTGGGATGCAATGCCCGCCCCGACTAATTGGTTTTCGAGTTCCCAGATCACCGAGGACGGAGCAGTGAAAAAAAAGCCTCAGCATTCAGACCTGACCATGCAATTTTTTTATTCTATTACGAATGCATGCATGCGTAGAACTGCAGTGCTGCTGCGTGGATAAGGACACTGGTTTGCTCTTCTGCACGTCTCAGAATGTACTGCACACGACTCATTTGTGATTTAGGCTGCCTTTTTTTTAAGAGCGTGATTTTTAATGAACCCCTGTGCTGCGTACAAACCCGAGCCTCCAGTCAGGCGTCGCTGCAGGTCCGTTCGGGGCCGAGGTTCCCGGTGCAGCGCAGACGCCGCACCAGCTGCGCGCTCGGGGCGGGGCCGCCGCACGCTTTTCTCCCCAGCAACACCGGCCGGCGCGCCCCTCGGAGGCGCGGCCTCGCGGCTTCCCCGGCCGGGCCTCTCCCCGCCCCTCCCCCATGCAGGGGCGGCGGCCGCGACCCGGGCGGGCGGGGGCTGCTGGCGGAGCGGCCCGCGGCGCGCCGGAGGAGGAGGAGGAGGAGGAGGAGGAAGGGGAGGAGGGGCCCCCGCCCTGCCGCGGGCTGGCCCGGCCGCCACTGGCGCGCACTTTGGAGCCGGATGGGGAGACGTGACCGCCGCGACTCGAGCTGCGCCGGGAACAGGCGCGGGGGCGGGCGGGGCGGCCGGGCTCGGGGCACCTGGCGGCCCCGGGCGGATGTGGGGGCCGCGTCCGGACCCGGGGCGGGGGGTGCGGGGGTGGAGGGCCGCCCGGGGCTCCTCCTTGCCCGCAGCCTTTGGTCAGAGCGCCTCTCCGGGACCCGGGAAAGAATACGTGGCGTGGACGTGGACGCCCCCGCGGTTAGACCCTCGCCCCCTCGGGTCAGCCTCGGTTTCCTGTTCTGCAAAGGGGGAAAGCAGACACCCACCGCCCATCTTAAGCCTGTGGCTTGCGGCGACCCCCAGAACAGAACGGCCAGAATCTGCGCGGGATGGAGCAGGACTGTCATCCCTAGACCCGGGAAAGGGCCCCTGGGCTCCTCCGCCTTTCCCACGGCCCCTGACCATCGTGCGCCCCCATCTCCACGGGGAAGCCCCTCCGTTCCGCCCGGGGATTCGGAGGGGGGAAGAAGCGTGCGTGAGCGTTTCTGAGACTTGCTTTTCGCCTTGGGTTTAATGCTCCAGGGTTAGGACCGGCTTTTCCGGAACTCTTAGTTGCAAGGCTTGAGCAAGAAAAAATTCCTGGCTCGTGGAGCAGAAAGGCAAGGAGGGCTCGCCTGGTGCTTGCTGAGTGAGTGCTGGTCTTCCAGATCGCAAGCTCCTGAATGGGCTACTGCCTCAGTTTTCTCAGCTGTCAAATGGGAACGCCACTGGGGAATGGGGTGACAGGAGCCTGAGGCTCGGGGGGAGCCTCTTAGGCTTACCTACTACCTTCGTGAGTCAATTCTGCTGTGGTTGTGTGGATCTTCCCCCCGCTGAAGCCTGCTCAGTCCTTGGAGAAGAGTGCTGGCCATCTTGGTCACCCGTGTCATTTCACTTGAGCAGGGAGGCCGCTGACCTCACCCAGAGCCTCACTGCACTCCCGTACAAACCCTGAAGGCTGGGGAGGTGGGGTGGACAGACATCCCGAGGGGGACAGACAGGCCAGGTAAGGCCCAGGCCTGGAGGCGCCCTCTACGTTCATGGAAAGTTACTGCAAGACAGGAGGAAGGGCAGTTACTGAAAAAGGTCCCCGGGCTGAGCTGCCCTACCTCAACACCCTCAACAAGACCCTTTGGGAGGGGGGCAGAGGGTGACGCCACCACGTGTGGCACTGGCATCCCCTATTGGAGCACTGGCTCGAGTCCTTGCTGCTCGGCTTCTAATCCAGCTGCCTGCAGAGGCAGTGGAGGCTGGGGCCCCTGCCACCCGTGTGGGAGCCCAGAATGGAGTTCCTGGCTCCAGGCCCTGACCTGGCCCAGCCCTGCCGATCGCCAGCAACTGGGGAGTGACCCAGCAAGATGAAAGATCTGCGTCTTCCTCTCTCTGATGCGCTATCAAATAAAGAAATCTTAAAACAGACACACTCAAATTCCTAATGTCTCCAAGAGAACCTCTGGGACAAGAGTCATCCGTGCAGAAGGCAGATGACCGCTGCTCGGGCCTGGGCCTCCGAGGCCAGCGTTGCAGGAGACGGTGCCACCCCCACGCTGGGCCCCCTTCCAAGCGCGCGGTTGCTGGGAACCGGCTCCAGTTCCCACTGCCGCAGGGTTCCACCACCAGTGCGGTTCCTGGTGGTTATCACAGCTCAAAAGGTCAGCCAGCTCTTGAGAAATAAATATTCGCCTCGCCCTCGGTTCCTGCCGAGACCTTTGGCCCCAGCTGCAGAGTGGATGCCTGGGAAAGACAGCCCCTGCCAGCTTCGGGCAGTCTGGCTGTTGCTGGAGGCCGGCCAAGGCTGCCGTCAGGGGTTGTCCTCGTGCTGGGAGGCGGCACTCCGGGGACGTGGCTGACCCCGGCGGCCGGCTGCCCCACCCCCAGGCCAGGGGCCTTGCAGGCACCCCCAGGTGCCTGCGATGTGCTGTCAGGGGTACTCACACAGGGGCATCTGAACTAGGGACCGCCCAGGACCCTGCCTCGTGCAGGAACGGAGTCACACCCGCCCTCCCGGGCCCTCCCCTCCGGCGGGCGGCTGGGACTGAGCAACTGGGCGATTCTTGGAAGGGACTCCTGTCTGGGAACCAGGGAGACTCGGTGCCCCGGGGCAGTGGGCGGAGCCTCAGTGACTCCAGATCCCTCGGGGCTGAGGGGCGTGCTCCGAGAGCCCCCCTGCCCTGCCCTGCTGGGCCGCCTCGGCCCTTCCCAGAACTCACCCTGCCCTTTCCTGCTGCCTCTCGGTTTGGGTTCCAAGCGTTTGTGTCTGAATGTCCTTTCCCCGCGCGTTCAGATCATTGGTCTTCAAGGTCGCTTCCAAACTCCAGCCCTTCCAGGAAGTGCCCATCCGCGTCAGCCTGCATTCCCCGCCCGCACACCCCATCGCTGCTGGGGGGGGGGGGGGGAAGGAGTAGGGGGGAGGGTGGTCTCCAGAGTCCAGCTTAAATGCAGGGGTGTGAGGGCGGGGGCACGTGGCGGGAGGGGCCCGCCTCAGCCCTTGGGTGCCACGGAATCTCCACTGCGGGGCCAGGTGGACATGGCGCACAGGGACTCCTTCTCTGCCGCCTTCGGCTGCACTCCCCGCGTGCCACAGGGCCTTGCGGTTAGCCGTCAGCAGGAGAAAAGGGCCGGGGCCGGCAGTGGAGCCAACACGTGGTGTCCACAGCACCGCTCGCCGTCCCCGGAGATTGGGGGGGGGGGGGGGCGGCCGTGAGCCAGGAAGAAAGGCGTCCAGGCCGGCGCGCTGGCGCACGCTCTTCCCACAGGCAGCCCCAGTCTGGATGCCGCCGAGCCCCGTGCGGGTGCCTGGTGACCGCCTCCTCCCCACGACGCGGCGACTGCGACCCCGGAGGGGACCCGGGCAGCTGCCAGCTGCGCCCGCCGCAGCCGCCGCCTTCTGGGGTTTTCCGGCTCGGCGCGCCTCACACGACCTCGCCCGCGCCTGCCCGGCCGCTCCCCCGCCCGCAGCGCGCGCGCGCACGAGGCAAGGCTTTCTGATGAGTCAGCGCGAGCGCGGGAGCCCCCGCCGCGTGACGCACCGTGAGTCACGGGCGCCCGGGCCGGCGCAGCCCCCACGGCCGCCGCGGGCGCCCCCTCGGCGCATCCCTGCGCGCCCTGGCCCGGCTCCCGGTGACATCAGACGCTGGCCGCCCGGCCACCCTCTGAGTCAACAGTTCCCGAAGCGGAGCCCGCTGCCAGGGCCCGGGAGAAAGCGCTGCCTCCGGGCCAGGCGCGGCGGGCAGCGGAGGGGGCGGGGGCGAGTGCGGCCGGGACAAGAAGTCACGAGGGAAGGGGGCGCGGAGAGGGCGGAAGCCGCCCGCCCAGCAGCCCGCGGCGGGGAGGAAGCCAGCGGCGCGGAGCCGCGCTGGGTGGGTGGCTGGGCCCGCCCCGAGTGGCCTGCGGTGGGGTCCCGCGGGAGGGCTGCGGGGGCGGGGGAGGGCCTTGCTGGGAAAAGCCCCCGGGCCACGCCACCCTCGGCCCCAGGGCATGGGGGGTGCGGTTGTGCCTTATCCTTGGGCCCAGGTGTCTTTGATGGGAGCAGGCCAGGCCCTCTGGGGAACAGCTGCCCACGTGGAGTTGGAGCTGAAGCGGCATAGTGCAGGCCTCACCTGACTCCTGGTGGACAGGCCGTGTCCTCAAGACGGGGTGGGGGTGGAGGGCAGGCCTCCCTCCGTCTCCCGGGTCAAGGAATTCGAGAGCCTCAGGAAACGGGGGGGGGGGGGGGGGGGTCCGCGCAGGTGGAGGTGGGGGAGTGGAAGGAAGTATAGAAGGGGCAGCCAAGACCTGAGACTCTGCCAGGGGGATGCTGGAGAACCGAGACTCCCTGGTGAGCTTCCTGCTCCCGGAGAATATAGGCTGGAGCCCCGTGAGTGAGGGGAGAACGTGCAATTGGCATGGTAAGGGAGGCCGGGAGCCGCTGTGAGAGGCAGCCCCTGTGCCTTCTAGGAGGCTCAGCCGAAGCCCCTTAAGAAAGCATCGCCTGTTGTACACTAAGTGGCTTCTAGAACCTTCTTTAACCCCAGCGGGTTTTCCCTGACCGGGTCATACAGGAAGGCGGCTTGGTTTCCTTCCCTCCTGCGGAATCACACCTCACCCACCCACGCCACCACCCAGCCGCACCCAAGCGCGGTTTGGGGGCCTCCAGGTGGGCTCCGTCTTGCTGTTCTGCGCAGAGGCACAGTGCAGCACCTGGGGAGCAGAGGCGTCTCTCTCCTCTGGCAGCTGGGTGAAGCAAACCGGCCCTGATGTGCAGGGACCCTGGGGGCGTCCTCTTGCCCTGCTCCCCCCTCTTTGGAATTCATGCAGAGAGAGTGCCCAGTATACTTCTCATCGGGCATCCTTCTCCAAGGACCCGTGCCAATCCAGCGCAGCTCAAAATAGCATTGAACCAGACTTCTGGGAAGCCCGGTGCTCCGGCATCTCCAGAGAAGAGTTAAAAATGACAGCTGTTGGGGAACCAAGGCGCCTCATTTCTGAGATGGGATGCAATGCAGGGCCCTGTGACAGGGAGAGGAGTGGAAAGCGTTTCGGGAAAAGGCCTTGGGCCTGCTGTGGTGGCTTTTCGGGGAAGTTCGTGGGCTGGAGCACGGGAGGTTATCCTGGGCACCAGGGCCAGGTGCAGGAGAGGGCTGTGGCAGGATACTTAAGCCACAAACACCTCAGCCTGCAACTTCCACGTTTTCCTTCAGGCCGAACACCTGAGCACCTTCCCCCCTCTCATACCCTGAGTGATGCTTCAGGCTTGGCCCAGCTCAGGGGCCAGCGCCATAGAGGTGCCCCCTGCCATCTCCCTCCCCCCCTCCAAGTTCCCTTGGCCTTCAGCCCCTCCCTGTGGGCCTTCCCAGGCCTCAGCCACAAAGGCTGTGTGTATTTGGCCTTCTTCTCCGCCTGCCCCTCCCTCTGGCTGGACCGCCTGGGAAAATGAGTTGGCTGTGAGCGCTGCCTTCCTCTGCCTTCCCGGTGAAACCTTGGAGGCTTCCTTTGTGTCTGATAGGGCTTCCTGTTTGCTGAGACTGCTCCCACCGGAGACACATCTTGGGTTTTAAGCCAGCCTGCCTTTATGCCTAGGAGCAGCCCTTGGGCCGGGGCTCCGGCTGGACCCCCAGCAGCCATCAGCCGGAAGCCTTGGCTCATCCCCTAGCAGCTGAACCAGAGCAGTGGGATATAAGCGCCCCTTGTTCACAGCCAACTAGCGCGCTCAGGCACACAGGTGACGTTCCCCTGTGTGAATCTGCACCCGCAGAAAAAGCAAAGCAGGGCTGCTTCGCTCCACTCATCCCCAAGGAACATCACTAAATGCAAGACTCCTCGTACACACTGGAAAGACTCACTTTCCTTGCAGCTTTTTAGGAACAGATGTATGGAAAGTGAAGGAGATGAGGAGATGATTTGAGAGGGCTGGGTGCGGTGACAAATTCTGTTTTCCTGCAGATGCCTTGAAAGTTAGGATGAGACTGAGTTGAACTAGGAACATCTGCCTGAAAAGGCTTGGCACAGGATCAAAACAGCTGGCAGCTTTCCTAGCGGGTATCGCCACACTGAGAAGTTGCCTCTCTCTCCTCCTCTAAGCCGCCTTGTCCGCCTCCCACAGCAGAGAGCGGGGACTGTGATAGTCCTGGCTCCATATATGAGCTTGGCCACCTAGAGCTGCCCCCTGACTTTTGTTCAGTCTCCAAATGGCTGCCACAGCCCAGCCTGGGCCAGACTGAAGCCAGGAGCCTGGAATTCCATCCTGGTCTCCCATGAGGCTGGCGAGGACCCAAGCACTTGAGCCATCGTCTGCTGCCCTGCTAGTGCGTTAGCAGGAAGCTGGATTGCAAGCACAAGGTAGGATTGAGCCAGCGCTCTGATTCAGGGGGTGGGCGGCTCAGGCAGCAGCTTAAATCCACTGTGCCCCAGCACCCAGCTCTGTTTCTCGCCTGTAAAGTAGAGATTGTTCCACCCGCATGAAGTTTAAAACCGTTTCTTCTCTCTCCTTACTCGCAGTAGAGCACTTCTGTGACCACATGAAGGAAGGGAAAACATAACCCCAAAAGCCAATTCGATGCAAGGTGCGTGTCCTACAGTTTCAGTTCTGACACTGTCTACCTGGAGTTCGAGTCAAGTCCCCAAGGTTCAGGGCTCAGGGTGACAAGACTGTCCCCACTTCAGATGTCAGTCCAAATCCAGGCCTCCAGGATGTCTGACGAATCAGCTATAAATCGGAGGTTTTCAGGACCCCTTCCTGGTTAATTACAGAGGGTTTCTCAATGGATGCAATTGAGCAAGATGGCAGAGATGCACAGGGCAAGGTAGGGGGAGGGGTGCAGAGCCAGCATGCCCTCTCGGGTGTGCCAGCCTCCGGGCATCTGGCAACCCAGAAACTCTGCCGACCCCATTGGGGAGTCCTTCCGGAGGCTTCATCATATAGGCATGGTGGGTTGCTAAATCCGTTTCCACCCCTTCTCTTCGGGGTCTCAGAGACTGGGACGTGGCTGCTCTCATGCTTCTGCTCACGGCTTGCTCTTTCTGGTGACCAGTCCTCACAAGGTCACCTCCTTGGAACAAAGGACATTCCTATCACCAGGAAATTCCAAGGGATTAGGAGCTCCACTTCGGGAGTTGGGGGTCAAGGGCCAAGTGTTAGAACAAAAGAGGCACCAGCGCCCCTGTCATTCAGGAAAGCAGAAGGGTTTTAGGGGCTCTGTGCCAGGAACAAGGGCAGAGACCACATGCGTGTTGCTTGTTGCATCACACTATGGCAACCCTGTCGGGCTCCTGTGCGGACTGGAGGAAGAGGCACCCGGTTAATAAAGAGTAGCTTTAAATGTTTTCGGTGCTGCAGCTGTTAAGGGCGACAGCTTCCTTGACTGTTCAGGGCCAGTTCCGTCCAGGATGGGAGAGCCACCTGTCTGGGTGAAGTAAGGGATTCAGTAGTGGCACAGCCCTACCAGCCAGCCAGCAGAGGCCCCGAGAGGAGCGTGATAGCGGAACCGTGGGAGGCCGCAGCGAAGAGGACCTTTGCCCAGACCGAAGCGGGCAGGGGGAGCCCCTGGACGAGGCGCAATAAGTACTGATCATCCTGTGTTGAGTCCCAGGAGTCTGAAGCTAAGTGCTAAGCCTGTGTCTTCCGTGGCCTCTCGCCCATGAGCTGTGACCTTGAGGAAGCACGGGACCAGACCCCGTTGCAACAGACCAGGACTCAGGGCTGGACTCTTGCTCCTGTGACCAGGAACATGAAATGCCCCCAGGAAGGACATCTCAACACATGCAGGATTGGGCTCTCTTTGGAGAGGGAGGGGGAACAAGAACCGGCCTTTGAACCTGAGCCCTGGGAGACTGAGCAGGTGCTTGGGGTGCGTGAGCTGCCCCAGGGTCTGCGCTAACAAAACACAGGCCTTTCCTGAAGCCACAGAAAGCAACTCACTCTCAGAAATCCTGCTGTCAAAACCCGGCTCTGGATGGAACCCTTCCTGGCCTCTTCCCAGCTGCTGCAGGTGGCTTCAGTCCTCAGTGGCGGACCCTCCCATTAGCCCAGTGTGGCTCCCGTGTGGCTGTGTGTCCACCTGCCATTTGCCTCTCCTGAGAAGGACACAGGTCATATTGGATAAGGGCCCAACCTAATGACCTGAGTGTATCTGCAAAGACCCTGTTTCCAAGTGCGGTCACCCTCACGGGTGCTCCAAGTCAAGGCATCTTTTGTGGAAACGATTCAACCCGTAATGTACGCAAACTGTGGCGCCTGCTACACCTTGGAAAGGGTGGAGGCCGAGTGCAGCGTGCACACAGGCACTCTCTGTGCTGGCGAGGGGTCACTGGGACAGCATGCTGGGAGCAGGTCCACCTGGGGCCTCCAGCGTGTTCATATCCTTCCATCCAGTGCCCGCTCCACCTATGGGGAGTCACTGAGGGGCTAGTGTTGTGGCGCTGCGGGTTAAGTCGCCACCTGCAACCCCAGCCTCCCTTATAAGCACTGGTTGGGGTTCTGGCTGTCCCACCCCCTGATAATGCACTTGGGAAAGCAGCAGAAGATGACCCAAGTGCTTGGGCCCCTGCCACCCACATGGGAGACCTGGATGGCCCCAGCCATGGCCATTGCAACCATTTAAGGAATGAACCAGTGGATGGAAGACCTCTCTCTGTCTCTTTGCCTTTCAAATAAATAAGAAAATCTTAAAATATATATATAAATCAGAACATTGAATTAAACAGGACGAAGGATGCAATTTTAAAAAAGGGAGTCATCAAAAATGCTGATAAATTTTATGTACAGAGATAGTCCTTTGAGTATTGTTGATACAGTTAACTATTGGGACCCAGTTCAACACCCAACAGCTAGGGAATGGTTATTAAAATGAGAAATGTCCACATGATGGAGATATTAAGTAGCATTTTGAAATATTTCCAGGGAAAAAAATCACATGGGGCAAAGTGAAAGGAAATGATATGTTCAGGATGTTGTCAACTTTATAAGAAACATGTAAGGGAGAAAACAGAATGTGAACAGCTTCCTCTCCCCTCACGGAGGGATTACAGAGTGATTTTATTATTTTTATTACACTATTATATAAGTTCTCCGGGTTAGCTTTGTAAGCAAGGAGAAGCGAATGTTATTTTTAAAATAGATGTATAAATAATTCCCCGGAATATTCATCCTGGGAACATTCTGACCGGGAGGCCAGCAGAGCCGGGGAGTGGGCAGTGGATTCTGGGAGTAGACGTCAAGGCCGTGGTCCCCGGTGGGGTTTCTCAGTGTGAGGCTGGGAGGTCAGCTTGGACCAGGATTACTCAGGATGCTTGTTCAAAAATGCAGGGTTCCAGACCTCGCCCCCAGAATCTCAGGGCACAGGAATTCCAAGTTCTAACAGGCTTTGCTCGTCTGTGTTTGGGACTCTGGGTCTTAGAGTCTGTGGCCAACTACCCATCAGTGACCCCCTGGGTGTCACCCTAGCTGTTTGTGCCCTTCAGCCCGCCCAGTACTCAGCACTGCACTACGGAAAAGTTAGTCTTTATAAAAAGTTTTCTGTTTTGCGCAGCGCCGTGGCTCACTAGGCTAATCCTCCGCCTAGCGGCGCCGGCACACCGGGTTCTAGTCCCGGTTGGGGCGCCGGATTCTGTCCCGGTTGCCCCTCTTCCAGGCCAGCTCTCTGCTGTGGCCAGGGAGTGCAGTGGAGGATGGCCCAGGTGCTTGGGCCCTGCACCCCATGGGAGACCAGGAAAAGCACCTGGCTCCTGGCTCCTGCCATCGGATCAGCGCGGTGCGCTGGCCGCAGCGCACCGGCCGCGGCGGCCATTGGAGGGTGAACCAATGGCAAAGGAAGACCTTTCTCTCTGTCTCTCTCTCTCACTGTCCACTCTG